TTTCTTCTATTCTTAATTAATTTAAATAATTAATATATCGATCGAAAGCCCTGGTTGTGAGGATTATTTTCGCCAACAGGAGTGATTTGATCAGATCATGTTACAAAAATTTACAGTCAGATAAAGGTAAACTCACGATTACGCACATTTATCGAGATGTAACTTTTAGTAACATGATCTGATCAAATCACTCCTGTTGGCGAAAATAATCCTCACAACCAGGGCTTTCGATTGATATATTAATTAATTAAATCAATTAAGGATCTAAAAAGTTAAGACCAAAATATGATGAGGTACACAACCTGCCGGTAAACAATAATACCCTACCCATAGATTCTTGATAAAAATCTTTCAAAATCTCAAATTTTAATAGCGTCAGCTTCGTAACGCTACGAATTAAATTATAGGATATCTCGATCAAGGCATATTAGTTCGGGATGTTCAAAAAGTACTTAAACGGTACAAAAAGAATAGAATTGAGATGTGGATTGACTTGATTGCTTGTCTCCCATTGGACTATTTATTTGAATTAGGCCTTCAAACAACAAATCCATGTCTTCGATTTAATCGGCTAATTCGTCTACAGAGAGTTTTTAAATTTACCAATACTACAGAAATGTGGTAGGGAAATTTTTTTTGAAAAATTTTTTGAAATTTTTAAAAAATTTTTTGAAAATTTTTTCAAAATTTTGACCAAAACGAATTTGACCCGAATTAAACAAAAATTAATTTTTCTGTTTTTTAGTGTTTCAAAACCAAATTTATACCGTATATTTTGTGTTTGCTTGTATATTTTAATTTTAATTCATTGGAATGCCTGTTTCTACTATTTTATTTCTGGCGTGTTAGGAATTGACTCAAATAGATGGGTTTATGGAAAGGCTAATTTACAAGCATTGCCAGAGTGCATTTTAATTTAAATAAAAAAATAATAATTTAATTAAAACAAGAAAAAATGTCACAAATTTAATTTTTGGATAAACTTGTGTACTTTACCCCCCTTAGGCCACGCCCCTTTTTTCTCTCTTCCTTTCTTTTGAGACTTAGGTATTTTATGAATTCAACAAAAAGTATTGCGCAGTCACTTTATAAGAAAAGGAAGAGGGAAAAAAAGGAGCGGAGCTTATGGGGGGTAAACTACACAATTGTCATTTTTTGACACTAAAGGTTAAAAATTCCAATGCTTTATGAAGTTTCAGTACTTTTTTCGAGCATCACGAACTAATAAAACTTGATCAGGATTCAGAATTTAATTAGAACAAATTTTTTATTAAAAATATATGTTTAAGTTAAAGCTTCGAAAAAAATTATTTTTTCAAACTTTTCAGAGGTATAGAAGACAGTCTATCCCGTCGATACCTCTACAGTTATTATTGGTCCACTTTAATGCTTTCCAACGTTTGTGAAGTTCCTTGGCCTATAAGAAGTTCAGAATTTATTATTGTTTGTGTTGATTTAATGTTTGGGGTTTTAATTTTTGCTACGATTGTTGGGAATGTTGGAAGTATGATTGCTAGCTCTGAGGCAGCTAGAAGGGATTTTCAATCAAGAATTGATAATGTGAAACGTTTTCTTCGTCAAAGGAATGTTAACAAAAATGTGAGGGAAGGCATTTTTTATTAGTAAAAGGAGAAATTAAAAAATTTTTGGATGTGAAAATTTTTTTGTTAAACGCCATTCCTGTTCCCGAACACAAAAAAAATTTAAAAACCCGGAAAAAATTAGAAAAAAATTTTTTAATTAGAAAATTTTTTAAATTGTTTTCTCCCTCTCTACTTTTCCGTTTTTTATTAAAAATTACGGGTTCTTTCCAGAAAAGTGGTACTTTTCTTTGTCCTCTTGCAGGGTTCCGGATTCAGTTCAGGGCATTTGCTTAGCAGCATTTAAAATGCTTAGGCTGGGATTAAAGCTCGATGGTAGAGCAGCCAATAGGTGTAAGCGAGGCCAAGCTTCTAGCATTGTCAGTTTTGCTTTTGCAGGTTCGAATCCTGCCCTGTGGTTAAACTTTAGCTAAAACTCTTGCTATATTTTTTAGTTAATACACAGAATTAATAACTGGTTTGATTATATTTGGCAACAAAATAAACAAGCAATACTTGATGGACAGGACGATTTAGTGTTAAGTGTATTACCAACAAAATTGCAAGCAGAAATTGCTATGCATGTCCATTTTGAGACTTTGAGGAAAGTTAGGCTTTTTCAGGTGGAAAAATGACTGTTCCTTGCCCAAATGATTTTTTAAAATTTTCTATAGGATTGTGAAGCTGGTTTACTTGGTGAACTTGTTTTGAAGCTTAAATTACAAGTAGGGGGTTTTTCTGGGTGAAAGTAGGGTTGTACACCCCGTCCCCCCCTCCCTGTAAAAAAGAAAAAATTCCCCCCCCCCCCCTCGTGGCGCTGCCTCCCCGAAAATTTTCCCCGTGCCCCCCCCCCCCCGTTGGGAACAACCCTAGTTCATAAAGTCAAAAAGTAATTTTTCAAAGGTTTTCAGCCCGGGAGACTTTGTTTGTAGAAAGGGCGATGTTGGAAGAGAGATGGTAACTGGAAAATTTTTGAAAATTTCAAAAAAAATTTCTCGTGTAGTATATAGTAAAGAAAGGCCGTTTACAAGTTGTGTCAGATGATGGAATCAAGATTTTTCATACATTATTGGAAGGGGCTGTTTTTGGAGAACTTAGTCTTTTAAATATTCCTGGTAATTTTTAAATTAATTTTTGAGAAAAATCTCTCGTCTCAGGTGTACTAAATTAGAATTTATTTGGCTATTATAAACGGAAAGTAAATCCCCCAGGGGGAGTAGTAATCCCCCAGGGGGAGTAGTAATCCCCCAGGGGGAGTAGTAATCCCCCAGGGGGAGTAGTAATCCCCCAGGGGGGGGGGGTAGTAATCCCCCAGGGGGATTATTGTTTCAACCCATCTCTAGAGTGGGGAATTAATAGAGACTGGGGGATTATTAGAGAAAATACGATATTTTCAATTTCCAATACATTCGTTTTTAAGTACGATTCTCAAGCACCTAAGGGTATTTAAAATCGACTGTATTTTCTCCCATAACTTTCCGGAATATTTTTTCCGGAAGAATAAAAGAAAGAGTATGTAAATATATGAGTGTGCATAAGAGAGACATTTTTTAATTAGGCATTTTTAATTACAATTTTTCCCTCTCAATTTAAGGCAGTAAGCACGGAAATCGTCGTTCTGCCTCAATTCGTTCAGTTGGCTATACAGATTTATTCGTTTTGAAGAAGGCAGATTTATGGGAAGCTTTAAGGGAATATCCTGAAGCGAAAAGAATGTTGGTACATAAAGGGCGTGAAATACTTTTAAAGGACGGATTGTTAAATGAAGATGCACCTTTGGAAGAAAAAAGTCCAGAACAGTGGAATCAGGAACTTAGAGAACAAATTGATCGTCTTTTGGATAAGTAAGGAAAATCCAATAATATCTATCTAACAATGTCTGGACGTCACCCCTCCCTCTCCCCCCCCCCCTTAGACGACACCCCCCCCCCCTTAGACGACACCCCCCCCCTTAGACGACATCCCTATCTATCCAAATGAACCTCACTCCTCAGCCGAATTTTCTGATGTAGGAAGGACATGGTAGAGAGATTCCATATCCCCTATCTGAACAGTGGAGGTTCTCTCTATTACGACACTTTTGGGTCGGATTTTTGACATAAGAAAGAAAATGATGCGTGAATAGGAGGGTTATTTTGTTATATTTTCAGCACTATCGGTCTCTAAGAAAAAAAATAAACCTTAACTTACAAGAAAATTTTTTAGATTGTCTCGATTGACAGCAGAATTTATTAGTAATGAAACTAAATTAGTCTCTAGAATAGAATTTTTGGAGAACAAATTGGAACAATATGCTTATCTTGATGAGTATAGTAGTGATGAAGAATTTAGTCTTTGAGGCAAGAATTTTTTAAATAAATTTTGGAAATTGAGTTGACTGGAACGGTTATAGTATGTAGAATAGTGTAGAGCAGGGATCTAGCCGTCATAAAAATTAAATTTCCTATTTCGTGAGTCAGGAATTACCGATTTTTTTAATTCACGATTTTCGGGAATCGGGTTAGCTAGATCCCTGGTGTAGAGGGTAAAAAATTTTTGTCTTAGAAAATAATTTTTGGGAATTTGTCAAAATATGTATCTTTTTAATTTTTAGACCAATATTTTAATTAAAAATTTCTAAAAAATAAATTTTAAAAAGACTGAAAATTCTAAAAAGCTTTAAAAAAAAATTTAATTTTCAACAAATTAAAGAAGAATTTTTTAATTTTAAAAAATTCTGAAAAATTTTTTTTTAAATTTCTTTAATCTTTCTTACAAAAAAAATATTTTTAAACAATTTCAATTTATATTTAAATATAAAAAAGTAAAATTTAAAGGTGTCAAGTGTATATGTTCTTTGTACAAAATTTTATTTCAAGTGCCTTTACTTTATTATTTTTATAAAAAGCGTAAAAATTTAAATCAGCTTTAAAATAATTGAAAATTTGAAGAAAAAAATATTTGGAAAAAGAATAAGCAATAAATTCACATGACAAAAAAATTTATTTTTAAAAATTGTTCAAACTTTTATTGGACCAAAATATGTAAGTTTTTGTTATGAAATTTTCAAAAAATTTCATAACTTCTTCAAAAAATTTCTAAAATTTCTAAAAATTCTCTCTTATTTTTAGGCAAATTTTATCACCAGAATCTCCTCCTTTTTCAAATGAATCTTCTTTGCCCAATTCTCCTCAACAATTTAACAATAATAATAGATTTAATCGACGTTCTTCTCTGTACGTTTTTCTGAAAAATTTTTATATACAAAAATAACAGAGTTGAATCATGATTAGTATTCAACACAGTTAGGTCCCCACTCGGTACTACTGATATCGTAAAATCCATTTACCGTGCACTAATCTTGATGGTTTTTTAATTAAATACGGGTAGGCACGGGAAATATTTGTTGATGACATTCACCCAGAGGCAACCCAGAGGTTAATGGATATCGACTATCCGGTTGATCAAATAAAATTTTTTTATCGAGCTCAAAGATCAAGATTCTAGACTTTATTTTTTTATTTCCTTAGACAGTCAAATGCTAGTAGTGGAAATAATAAAGCAAAATTGTTAAAGAATCGAGCTTCTGAATTGTGAGTGAAAAAATTATTTTTTGATCAAAAGAATTTTTATTCTCAGAATAATCCAGGTACCAGTAAGACAATTAAAAAGAATTGCTAGAACAGAGGGTATTGGTTCTTTACAAAGAGAAACTCAACATTTTGTTGGTAAAAATAAAAAAATTATTTTTCTTCGTATTTTTAAAATTTCGAAAAAAATTCTGAAAATTTTTTTGAATTTTTCAAAAAATTTTTGAAAAATTTTTCGAGAAAATTTTTTTATTATTCGGTGTAACATCAATAAACGGCCTTCTACGTATTTATCGTAGTCGTGGATTTATTCGTTTCTTTTGGGTTTTGGTAACAATTCTTTCTTTGGCTTTACTAATTTGGCAAATTGCGAAACTATTGGTTGTTTATACTTCCAAACCCACTGTTTCTCAAGTTTCTTTTTTGCTTCCGGAAAATGGGTTACAATTCCCGGCAATTACAATATGTAGTCACAATCCTGTGCGGAAGGAATATGTTAAACGTAAATTCTGATTTTTTACAAATTCTGATTTTTGCAAATTACAAATTCTGATTTTCTAAAATTCTGATTTTTTTAATTCTGAGTTTTATAAATTGTAAATTCTGATTTTCTTCTATAATTCTGATAGTTCTGATTTTCTAAAATTCTGATTTTTTTAATTCTGAGTTTTATAAATTGTAAATTCTGATTTTCTTCTATAATTCTGATAGTTCTGATTTTCTAAAATTTTGATTTCCTAAAATTCTGATTTTCTAAATTTCTGATTTTTTAAATTCTGTTTTTTTTAATTCAGATTTTTTAAAATTCTGATCATTCTAATTTACAAATTAAAATATTTCATAATTCTGATATTTTAAATCATAATTCTTTAACAAAACATACCAGATTATACCTATAAAATGAGAATTTTTATATTTGAAAAATCAGAATTTACAATTTTTACAATTCAAAATTCTGCTATTTAATTAAAAGGTTTAAATGCTTCTGGACGTTTTTCACAACGTTTACTCGATTATGCAATGCATTCTTTTATGGAACCACAATATTTGTTAACATATAAAGACCCGGAGAAATTAAAAATGATTGATCAAGTCTGATTTTTAATTTTTGGAATTTTTATTAAAATAAAAAATCAGAAATTTCTGATTTTTTGAGACCAAATTCTGGTTTTTTAAATCAGAACTAATTTTCTAAAATCAGAAATTCTGATTTAAAACCAGAATTTTGTTATTTTTTCATTCTAAGGAGTGGAAACATTTTGTAAAAAATTCAAAAACAAATTTTACAATAAATTCATTCTTCTGGAATGCTTCCACAAGTTGTCGACAAATGCTTAAGTATTGTTCTTTTGGTGGAAGGCAATTTGATTGTTGTCTTTATGCTAAAGGGATATTGACTGATATTGGTGAATTTAAAGCTTCTGATTTATATTCTCACTTAAATATCAGAATTTAAAAAATCAGAATTCTGGTTTTTAAGTAGAATCAGAATTTTTCTTTAGATTTCGAAATTCTGATTTTTAAAAACCAGAATTCTGGTCTATGATTAAAAAATAATATTTTTTCAAAGGCAAATGTTATCAATTAAATTTTGATGAAGCCGATCAGTCCTGGTTAAAACACCAAGTACAGGCTGGAATAAATAATGGGTACTATATACATAATTTAAGTATTAAATTCTGGTTTTTTAAATATTAGATTGCAAATAATAGCTGATGCTCATACAGAGGAACAAATCGTTTCTGCTGGTAATTTTTAAAATCAGAATTAATGTTTTACTTATCAGAAATTTTTGTGATATTTCAAAATCAGAATACTCGTTTCAAAAAATCAGAATTCAAGTTCTGAATCAGAATTCTGGTTTAAGTAGTCAGATTTCTGATTTTCAAAAATCAGAATGTCAAAAAAATCGGAATTTTTTCAGTAAATCAGAATATTTATTTCAGAAAATCAGAATTCTGATTTTTCTAATTTTTTTATTTAGCAATAAATTCTGGTCATGCTCTAGCAGAAATATTCGAAAACGGATTTCGTTATTATGTTCATGACCAAAATGCAATGCCCTATTTATCAACAGAGGGGATTAGTGTATCCCCCGGGACTAAAGTATATTCTGCTATAAGTCCAACAAATGTATTTTTAAATTAATTTAAAATATTATTTTTAAATTAAAGTATTTATTATTATCTCATAATGAATGGGGAAATTGTACAAATGAATGGCCTTTAAATTTAAATAAAATTGAAAATTCTGATGGTGGAAGTGGAAGTTTAATTACTCTTGATGAAAAGTTGAGAATAAAATTTTTTATTAAATTAAAAAATCAGAATTCTGATTTTCTAAAGTCAGAAATTTTTCATAAAAGCAAAATTCTGGTTCTTAAAATATCAGAATTCTGATTAAGAAAATCAGAATTCTTTCAGCAAAACATGATTATGGCTTTCTAAAATCAAAATTCTGCTTTTAAAACCAGAATTTTTTCAGAAAAGAAGAATTCTGGTTTTTCAAAAAGCAGATTTTTTTAATTAAAAAGTTTTTTAATAGTTTACCCTACTCTTTATTAAAATGCAAAACAATTTGTTTGGCAAAATATTTTTATGAACGTTGTGGTTGTAGTCCTTTTATCTACAATATTGAAGAATGTAAGGAAATTTTTTTTGTAGCAAATTCTTTTCCCTATCAAATAGTCTTTAATTTGTTTAAAAAGGGTTACCCATTCAAAAGTTATAGGTGATTGAACTGAGCTTATCCTCCTACACATCCCCTAAAAAATTTTTTCTAAATTTCTAAAGATTTCTCTGTTTGTACACCCTATGATACTTACAAATGTATAAATGATGGAAGAAATATTACCACAAAAAATCAAACTGATAAAAATAATGAAGAGGAGGAGGATGATTATTCTCTTGTTGAAGGTGCTTTTGAGAGGGGATTTCTCTCTAAAAAAAAATTTTTTTTCAAAGAATTACCAACTTGTACTGAATGTAAAATGGAATGCCATCGTTCTGTTTATCATATATACAATTCTTATGCTCAAGGATTTTCTCAAAGCTTTTTATCTTGGATACAAAAGAAGAAAATTGAATGGACGCCTAAACATGTTCAGTAAGTTTGTGAAAGGAGGGGAGGTTGGCGCTAACCTCTATAACTCTTGAATGAGATGACACTTTGAAACGAACGTTATGTCATTCGATAGAGAATTGAATGGGCTATATGATAAATTTTAGATAACATTTTTACTTAAAAATTTTAATATAAAATTTAAGTTTTAAAATTTAAGCTCTCTTATCTTTTTTTCTCAAAATTTTAATTTTATCCTTATTTTGTAGCAAATTTAATTCTCTATTCGATAGTCCAAAAAAGTATTTCAATAGCTTTATCCATTCTAGAGTTATACAGTTTAACGCCCCCTTGACTGCCTGCGCCCAACTGACATCAACAACACGTCATGTTTTACTGTAAAAAGTTTAATAAAACTTGAAAATAGTTGAAGTCAGTTGGGCGCAGACTGTTTTGGGCGTAATAAAAAATTTTTAAAGCTCAAACTTTGTTGCAATAAATATATTCTTTCGAGATATTTGTTACACAGAATATAAACAAATTCAGAGTGTTGGAATGACTGAAATTTTAAGTTTGTTTTTTAATAAATTAAAAAATAATATTTAAATAAAAGGCGATATTGGTGGAAATATGGGGCTTTTTCTTGGAATGTCTTTAGTTTCTGTAATTGAACTAGCAACTTTTCTTTGGAAAATAACTTGGATTTTTATTTCAAAAAAAAGGAGAGAACATATGGTAAAAATTAAACTTTTATTTTTTTGCTTCAAAATTTTTGCTTCAACTTTTTTGCTTCAGCTTTTTTGCTTTTGCTTCAGTTTTCTATTTGCTTCACTTTAATTTTTGCTTCAATTTTTTTATTTCTGCTTCTATTTTTTATTTTGTTCCACTTTCACCCTTCTGCTTCATTTCCGTTCTACGTTTGCTTCTGCTTCATTTTCATTCGTTTTACTTTGCTTCCATTTTTACTTTTGCTTCAGTTTTTTTCTTATGCTTCTTATATCTTTTTAGCTTCATTCTTTTAACTTTTTATACTTTTTCTTTCTTCAGATAGCAAAGAAATGCCGAGACGAGGAGCGTGAAAAACATTTACAAGCAACTATGGAATTTGCTTTACAACAACGTAGATTTGCTGCAAGTATAGGGCGACTGGCGGCTTCACAACAACTGCAAGCCGAAAGTAAAGGTGCTAAAAACTTTTTTTATTTTATGAAAATTATTTTTTCAATTCAATCAAAATTATTTTCCCCATTTTCAGCCCCAATAGCAAAAATATCCTTTTCCAATCCTTTAAATTACTCATCTTCATCTTCCTTTGAATATCAACAAAAACAACGAAAACCTTCATTATTTGACACCTTTTTTGGTTTATCAAAAAGAAAATTCTCATCATTTAGAAAAGCTTCAAAAAATAATAATTTTGTTGACTCAATAATTTCAAATCGAGTACATGGAACAACATCAAGTTCATCTTCTGAAGATGAAAATGAAGATAATGAAGCAAAATATTGTAAAAAAGAGAAGAAAAGTTTGGGAAAATTGGTAAAAATTAAATTTTTAATAAAAACTTTTTTAAAAGGAAGTGAATTTAAAAAAAATGTGTTTCCCTTACAAAATTTGCCTGTTCCTTTAATTGTTTATTTGTCTTTTTTAATAATATTTTATAAGCATTTTATTTAATCCCCCTCAATGAGTCAGTATGGTGTAGTTGGAAAGGTTTAGGGCGACTTGGTGAAGGTCCGTGGTTCGAGTCCCTTTAAAGGAAATTATTTTTTATTTTTATGTTAAAGTCTATATTTATTAATATATTGGATAATTTGACTTTAAAAAATTCGTCAAATTTTTTAAAAAATTTTTGAAGCAAAAAAATTTTTCATTTTTCCCTCCTCTCTTTGTGGTGATTATCCGTTATCATTTTTGCTTCACAAAGAATTTTTTTGATTTTAAGGTTGAACTTAAAATTAATTTAAATAATTTGGAACAAAATGGAGACAGATTTAGACGGAAATCAACTTGTTTATTTAATAAACAACAAAATTCAAATTTATGGGAAAGAAGAAGAGCTACAAGTATATTCGAATTTTGTGATAATTCAACAAAAATAAATGAAATTCCAAAAATAATTAAAGAAGAAAATTTTTGAGAAGAAAAAAAAGAAATTGAGGAGGAATAGGAGAAAAAAATTCTTAAATTAATTGTGCTTTATATATTTATTCCAATAGAAACGCTCTGTACTTCTGTAGCAAGTTTCTTATATTTCTATGCACTTTTTTTATGTATTTTTGTTTGAAGTATTTTTTTATATTTTCTACGTGTGTTTAATTTTATTTTTCAAATATTAAAAATCATGAAATTTTTTTTTAAAAATCCATTATTTTTTATTTTTAAGCCCCTTGTGCTGGGCAATCTTTTGAACGTTCACCAGGGGCGCATTTACACTCTGAATCTTTCATTCGGCGAGAAGTTATTTCACGTCCTGTTGCGTCTTTGCCAACAACACATAGGCAACCTTAAAAATTAAAAAAAAATCTTTTGAATATTTTTCTGAAGCATGCTTCAGAAGCAACTTTCATGCTTCAGAAAATGCTTCTGAAGAAAAAATTCTTTTCGAATCTTTCCTCCCAAACCTTTAGGTCTCGGATAACACCCTTCTCTCAATCCAGCAAATTTATTTTTCAATTCTTTAATTACTGCAGCATAATTTTGGCGAGCACGTTCTTCTATTGGATCTACTCTGTTATTGTTGTTGTTAGCTGTTTTTGTTTTTTCCCGTGTAGCTGTTGGAATATCAGCTTCTTTAGTTTTTTGTTCTGCTACACGTCTTCTTTTACGAGAGCCAGAAGTATTCTGAAATGATTAAAAAAGAGGTTGATAACTAAATTGAGATTCTAAAGGATGTGGTTTGCTTCAGTTTCAAATAAATTCTTGGAGGGTGAATTTGGCTAAGTGTCTATTTCTGTGTTTTTGATTAAAAGCCCTAATTATTTTTAATAAATTTAAAAATTTATTATTTTGCCTTCTTTAATATTTTTTCATTGAAAAAATAATTTTTCCCCAAAATTTCAATAGAACGAAAATTTATATCTTTACCTCCACTCTACATTCTGCTTCAGTTTCAAAAATTTTTTCTCTATCATATCCATTCTCATCTTTTTCAGTACATCGACAACCCACACCTTTAGGTCTCGGGAAACACCCTTCTTTTAAATTTCCAAATTTCCTTTTAAATTCTATATTTAAAAAGTTTTTATTTATAGTTGTTTCGACATCTTTTGGATGTGCTTTCTGGGCATTCTTTTAAATTAAAAAAAATTTTTTAGGGAGAAAAATTAATTCTATTCTAAAAATTAAGTAGTGTTTGGCAATTGAATTTTTCCTATACCGGTTTACACGAGTGCGAAAAGTACTGGATCGATACTTTCGGAAATACTGAACAATGCCGAACACTAAAATACATTAACCTACCACTTGTGAACATATTAAAATTGAATTAATAAGTAAAATAAAAAATAATGAGAAAATAATTATTGTTGGCGTTGTTGATTTACTAGCCATATCTGGAAGGAGAAATATTTTTTTTTTAATTTTTAAAATTATTTTAACAATTAGTCTCCACAGAAAATTTATTTATTTTTCTGTGAATTTTTAAAAATTAACCTTTAATGTAAATTAGTTAACCTTTATATACAAGAAAAAAGATTTTTAACACCTGATACAAACAAGTAAAATGTTCTTTTACTTTTGTTTACATCCTCTTTTATGTGATCAATTTATTTTATTTAAAGCTTTTAGAAAAAATATTTTTTCTAATCAAAAGCCACAACTGTTCCATTCCAATTAAATTTATTTTTTATTTGTTTTCATTTTTAAAAATAAATGTTTGACCCTTTGAATGAATCATTCCCTCAAGACGGGTGATTCATGCTTGTATAGGACTGAACTTAGAATAAAAAATGCGGAAAAACTTGAGGAAAATTTTTAAATGAATTTTCTCAAAAAATCGTTTTAGCTCAGATGGAAGGTATTGGATTACATTTCCTCCTCAACACAAGGGGGTTAAAGGTTCGAACCCTTTCATGGAAAAAATTAGTTTTTATTTTGATGGAAAATTTAATTTTTTTTTGTTATTCACATATTCTGATTATATTTTCTATCAGATTTTATTGATGTGATTTTCAATTTTGGAATTGAAATAAAAAATTTTCGACAATTTGACATTACGTCGAAAAATTTGACAAAATTTTAAAATTAACAAAATTTCCGAAAAATCTCAAAATCGCAAAATTACAAAAAAAAATTATTCAAAAAATTTTCAAACGCAAAAAACGCCATTTACCAAACGCAAAATATTTGCGTTTCAGTATGTTTTGTCATTATAAAAAGTTTTGGCGCACGCCTCTAAAGAAATTTTGTTGTGCGCCAACATATTTTTACAACGTGGAAAAACGCCAATTATTTGCGTTAAGTTGCGTTTACGATTTTGGCGTTTTTACACGTTGTTAATCATTCCGTGCGCACACCTAAGTTTACTTTTTCCTCAAATTTTTTGTGCAGAAATGGAAAATTATTAATTTTGTAATATGTATTTTAAGTGACCCAAATTTAATTAAAGAAATTAGCTGAAACATAGACAAGTATGGTTCATTTATTGCCTATCAAAGTAATCCATGTACCCATTTTCCTTCCTTTTTTCTCTTTGCCATTGCACAATGCCTGCCAAACATTTGAAAAAAATTAATTGGTTGCTTACAGGACGGACTCATCTATTTTTGGGTCGCTTTTTGGAGACTTTGGGCCTAAAGTAGTCACATATTTTCCGCTCATTTAAGTATTCTCTCTCCACTTTTAACAAATATTCGTTAGAACAGGATAAAACTTATTTTTCAAAAGGCCGATAAGACATTAAAAATTCATAGAATATTTTTAAATTTATTCGAAATATTCAATTATCAAATATAAAATAATTAAGATTTGCCTTAAATTCTTTAAGTAAAATAAAATATAATCAAAAATAAAGCAAAAATATTCTTGAAATTCTCTTCTCTTTTTAAAATAAATTTAAGTAGCACCATTCTCATTGATATTCTCTCCATTTTCTGCTTTAAGGCGCAAATTATTATCCAATTTTTCAAAAAAATCATGTTCTCTAGCTACTTTTAAAGTTATACGTAAATCTGGATCAATTACAAGCCTAGAAAATTTTTTAAAAATAATTTTTTTATGTTGATCAGAATTTAAAAAGAAATTTTCTATGGAAAAACAAAGGAAAAATAAAAGCATAGCCCCTTAAGGATTCGAACCTTAAACGTTAACAGACATAGTGGAAACGCTAATCACATTATCACAGAGGAATCAAGGGCGGTTAAATCAAAATCAGTGGAGAAATGGTTAATGAGGGTATTTTTCCTTCTAATAAATCATCAAAAATATTCTAACTTTAAAAAGGGATTAAAAATTTTTTCTAATTTATAAATTAAAAAAATTTTTTTAATTAATTTAATCAGATCCCAGATAATTTTTAAAATTAAGACCAAAATTTAAAAAAAAACTTTTAAACTCACATATTTTCAAGGAGATCAAAAAATTGAATATGTTCCATTTCTTGCACTTTAATATAATCCTTGAGAAAAAAATTTTTCGTTTAAAATTTCAAACATAATAAACTCACAAATAATTTCCTAGTATGTTCCTTAACATGTTCTTTAACCTCTTGACTACAATTTAACTGATTATTGTTTCTATAAAAGCCACAACTAAAATTTGGGATGAAATGTCATTCTTGAACAAAATTTTAAAAAACCTAGAAGCTCTCTTCATTGATTTTGGTACAGCACCACAAATTCTTTCAATAGTAGCCAAATGTTTAATATCATCCATTTTTGGAAATAATGCACATCCAGAATAAAGTTCAAACAAGATACAACCAATACTCCATATATCACAAGGAAAAGACCATCCATTTTCTAAAGAAATAAAAATAAGTTTAAAAAGTATTGTTCTGAACGTCAGAAACGCTCGCTTATTTTTTGGAACTGGGACAAGTAATCCAAAATTTTAGACCAGTAAAGTTGTCGGAGTTGGAAATCTAAGGGTATCCGGATCCGAACGAAAATTTCCGAATATTCTGCCTTTTTTGGATGTGGATCCGAAAACCTTAGTAACCAGGGGTCAATTTTAAAAGGGAGGCCAAAATGGGGTGTGCGCCCAAATTTTTCCTCCCTTCCACCATTTCTGGGGGAGCTCTAGTTCCCCGGATACGACATAAATGAACGAAGCCATCAAACCTTAACTCTTATCTCCAAATTAAAAACAAACTTAGAATAATTTCTGGAGCTCTATAATGACGTGTAGTAACTGTCTCATCATGCCCTTGATGCTCAAATACAGCAGAACCAAAATCTATTAATCTAATTGAAGCATCCTTTAAAAATTACAGATATTTGAAAAATTAAAAATTGGGGTAAAAAATCAGGCTTATAGCTAGGGGTCGGGAAACAATGTTTTCTCAATCGAATTAAAAAATCTTTAAAGAACCTTAAGTACACGAATTCTCCTTCTATTTCTTGAACGCTTAGATTTTACCAATCCCATTTCTTCATAAGGCTTGTCCCAACGATTTTTGAATTCATAAATGTCAGTATTTACAAACAAAATATTTTCTGGCTTCAAATCGGTATGAACAATTCCCTTTTCGTGAATAAAGTTGACAGCAAGAATTAACTAAAAAGACCAAAAATAAATTCATTTCAAATTTAAAAAAACCTGATAAGCAATATAACGAATTTGATCAAGAGGATAAGGATGGTAATCATTGCCTCTCTTTAAATTAAAAAAAATGTTGAATATCAAAAAATGATTTTAAAAAAATTTACCAAAAAATCGAAAACGCTCAATCCATAAGGTTCAAATAAGAGACAAATCTAAAAATTTTAAAAATAAAATTTTCAAATATAATTTTTGCGGATAATAATTGCGGACAGGAATGTCTTTAGCAAAAAAATAATTTAAAAATTTCCCAAAAAAATTTTAATATTTTTTGTCGTTACAAAATAAATATTCGCCCGAAAACAGAAAATAAAATTATTCGAAAAAATTTTTTAAAATTTAAGAAAATAAACTTACATGATCAAAATATTCAAAATGATCCAACAATTTAATAACCAAATGACTAGGAGCCAATCCATTTTCTTCTTCATCATCAAAAGAATTCAAAGCTTGAAGAACACTAATTTCTTGTAGAGCAGCGTCTTTATATGCCTGAACATTTCTGACGATTTTTAAAGCCCTCTTTGATGGATTTTCGCTATTTGCAGATCTTTGTAAATTTTTTGAATCAGACACCAGATGAACTTTTGAAAAAACGCCATCTCCAATTTGCTTAATTATTTTGACTGAAAAATAGGAGGAAAATTTGGTACTTGTGAGTTGTCCTAAACCAGTCTTTGCGGACATTTTTCTGCGGACATTTTTGTAAAGAATGGTCAGACTTTCCCTCTTCCTTAATTTTGAGAAAGTTCCCTCTTCCTTAAGAATGACCTTTCTGTACAAAAATGTCCGCAAATACTGGTTTGGGATAACTCACAAGTACCGAAAATTTATTTAGCTATTACTGTTTAACAATTTAATTTCAACTGACGATAAAATTTAAAAAGTTAAAAAAGAATAGAAAAATAAAAATTATAAACCGAAAAGGATTGAATCGTAATTAAAAAATATAACAGGCAGCTTCGCTCCCCCTAGACTTTATGGATTTCAAAAGGACTCCCAAAATAAATTAATTATATAGCAAAAAAATAAGGAAGAATTAACACTTCCCCTCCTTAAACATAACTAACAAAAAATAATTTTTAAAAAACCTCTCTTACATCTATCAATTATCCAATCTCCATTTCTACAAAGTAAATATCCGTGCTCATCTTGAACTGGAACAAAAGTATTATTTGATGGAACTTCTGACAATTCTGGCAAATCATCTTCTTCAACATTTTCTTCTTCTTCATAAATACCAATTTGATTATATTCTTCATTATTTTGGAGTTCACAACTTGTAGATTCCCCATTTTGATCAATTCGATTGTTATTAATGGGCGGTATCCAAACTTCATTCATTTTATTAGTTAATTCAATCATTGTTTTTGCCCACAGCTTATGTTTACGTTCCTCCTAAATAAGAAACAAACTCAATGATAGTCGTGGAGCATATTAAGATGTCTAATAGAAATCAATATTTTTAAAAGAAAACTATGAGTTTGATTTATCGATTCTGGCTTTGGGCAAAGAGCCAGTACCCTTGCCGTTGCCTTAAACCAAACACAGCTTAAAACCTAATCAGAAAAAATTTTCGAAAAATATGAACAGAAAATATTCTTCTAAAAAGTTAGCAATATTCGCTTAGATTAGCAATATTCGCTTAGATAGGCAAAAGCAAAACACCTTAATATGAGAATGACCGTTCAACAAAAACAGGCATTTTTTCAAACCTTCCCATTAATTTATAATCTGGGAAAACTTTAAATTAGAAAGGTTCAAACCTGCTCTTCTGTAATTGGAAAAGGATGAATGCATGCCCAACGAATCTTTTTTGAGCGTCTCTTCTGTTGTTGATCATTGTAGAGAATAACCATTGTAAAGTTGAATAAATAATAAAATTTTCAACTTAAAATTAAAAAAGGAATTTAAAAAATCAATGGAAAAGTGAGAAAACCCAAGCCATTTTCAAAAGAAAATTTCGAAGCGAAATGTCATTCTGGTAACTTTCATTTAATAAACAGTATAAAGTAAAATTCAAAATCCCAAAAATAAAAATCTCAACTTTACGACTTTTCACTTCGGTAAATAATGGGAAATTATTAATTTGGTCACGCAGAAGGAAAGATTAGAAATATTGAAAAAGTCACTTTTGAAGCCATACATACTTTCTTTTCCGGAAAAGATTTCCGGAAATTTCTAGCGTACTACAAATTCATCACACAAAATTAGACAGTAAATGGAAAAAATAGTGAAATAACAAAAATATATACATATTGTGAACAAAGGAGAGATAACAATAAAATACAGGCAAAATTATTAATAGGGCAGAGAACACAAATCAGTTTTTAATTTCCTATATATCACACTCTTTCCCTTTCTTCTCATTTTTTTATTCTTATTGTCGCCTCGGTTGACGAATTGGTGAATTTGGGACATTATTCGTCACATTTCTCAGTTGTCGCCCAGCATGGTCGCTCTGGATTGGCACAATCACATTATCGCCGGAGAAGCTTACGCGCCTATTTCGTGGCGGAGGCGTACCCGAACGGTTGAGAATTCCATGTGGAGACAGCTGTGCATAGGCGGCCATGTTTACAATCTGTTGGGGAAAAAATTATTTTTGGGGTCCTTTCACTCTCTCTCATCCAACCTGCTGGCGCATTATTTGTTGAACATCAACTCCAAGACGCAAAGATGGAGGCTCATGTATATCCTCACGTGCTAGCGCTGCTCTCGCCGCAGAAATTGCTTCTCTTGTTGTTGGACGACCAATAATTAGTTCCACACGATTAGTCTACAAAAAATTTTTTTTCAAAATTTAAGAGCTAAAAACCAAAGTATTTTACCTCACTCAGCGATCTGACCATCAAATTCTTCGCAACTTCCGCTTGTGTCACCCTCACACTATCCACATAGACAATATGGTCATACTGCTGGAGATGCGGGGAACTCAGTGAATTTGCCTCCACATTGCTGACAAGGACGCGATTGTCTCTTGTTTTGATCGAAAGGCCAAGACGAGTGCCACGAACTCGGTCGACTGTTACCATCTAGAAAATAGAGAACGTTTAACCCCAAAAACTCCCCCACAAAATTACCGTATATCGATATCCTTGACGTCTCTCTATTGCAGCCCGCATCCCTTGTGGCAAATCCTCAACCATTTGCGCTTGTTGTCGTGGTGATGGTTGTGGTAGCTGTTGTTGAGGTCGTCGATCTTCGCGCATTGTTGCTGTCGGGCGTGCTGTCGATGTCCTTTCTGGCGATCTTTCTCTAGCTGTCTCATTGCCGCTACTACTGCTTCCCATCCTTCGAATCTGAATATTCGCAACTGGATAACTGATACGCAGAATTCTGTAGAATGCGTCCAAGTCTTTAATCTTTCGATCATTGATCGCCAAGATTTTGTCGCCGATACGTAGATGGCCTTCAGCTGGTGATCCTCGTTGAATTTGTGTTATGATCAAGCTAAAAAGATTTTTTAACAGATTTACTTTCCCCAAGAAACTCACGCTTTATTGGGCCTAACTCCAAGCAGTTCATTCTCTTCTAGCGGGATAGAAACAACCATTGTTGGCCTTGTATTGGAAGAATTCGACGACGATCTTGAAGGAAATAGACGCATCGTAACGGATCGAGTTTGAGCGCCACCAACAACAATGGAGTGAGTAGTGGTGGTGCCAGCGACGGTTCGAATAGAACCAAAAGTAGTAGAGTGAGTGGAGAGCCAAGTTTAAGAAGAATCATGTTTTTAGGAGGTTTTTATATGAAGAATTCCACCAATATTTAGGCCTTCAAATCTTTAAAACTCGTCAAATCTCTTAAAATTATTTCTATTTTTTTAGATATAAAATGAAAAAATAACAAAAAATAAAAATCATTTAAACAATAAATAAATTTATTCAATGTAAATCAATCAGAAAAAAATAAAATTGAAAGGCAATATTTTTGTAATATAATTCTTTTTTAATATCTTGAGATCGGCAAAAATATATAATATACTAAATTTAGCAGCCAAAACAAAGAAGAAATGAAAAAATAAATTTAAATTTTGAATAATTTTCTGGGAGAGAATAATGTGGCGGACTAGAGATCAGACTGGGATTGTACGAAAAATCTCGAAAAAACCATCGTACAAGAATCAAGATTTTTGTTCGATATCTCGGCCCTGTCGCGTCTATCTAGTCAGCGAAGACCGAATGGATTAGGCCACAGTTCGGAGAGAAGGGGCCCTGTCTCGAAGGAAGCAGTACAACCCAATTTTTCACAGCCCGTCTAATCTCTAATGTGGACAATACTAGTATAACAATAATAGAAATTTTTTAGAAGCATATCAACAACAAAAAGAAAAATAAAATTTTGAAAAAACTTTGCAAAAATTCAAAAAATATAAATCAAAATTACCCTCACTCTTTAAAGAAATTCTCCTCCCCCAGCACTTCCCCCACCACGAATCGAATCCCTTCCAGAAATTATTGATCTTGACCCAGCTCCTTTACTTCCTTTAACAGTTGAAGAAGTATCATAATTTACAACCCCTCCATTATTGTAATCTTGAAATGTCCTCATTAATGTTGTTGCCCTCCTTTGTAAACTATTGTTAGTGCTATTACATGGTCCGTTAATATTATTATTAAATGAATCTGTTGTTGTTGTATTTGCAGCATAACTAACGCCTGTTGTAGAGAGAAAATATAGAATTGAAAAAAATGTATATTTAATTGTAGAAACAGAATTAAACTTTTCCGGAATTGTAATTAAGAATTATGTTTCCGGAAAATAATTCTGATTCTTAAATTAAAATTATTACACCAGAATTACAATTCTGAAAAGCAGAATTACAATTATTAAAAATTACAATTCCGGAAAAATAATTCTGATTTTAAATTACAATTAAAAAATCAGAATTTCTGAAGCTTCTTATTTTAAAATTGTTATACCAAAATTACAATTCTGACCAAAATTCTGATTTTAAATTACAATTCTGAAGGTTTTTTCTGATTTCTAAAAATCAGAATTTTTAAAATTACATACCAGAATTGCAATTTAAAATCAGATTTTCTGAATCTTCTTAGTTTTAAAATTGTTATACCAGAATTACAGTTAAATTACAATCCGGAAAAAAATTCCGAAAAATATTGTAATTCTGATTTAAACTCAAATAGAACCAGAATTTAATTTTAAAAATTACAATTCCGAAAATAGACTGTTCAGAATCATAATTTTCCAAAATTAAATATTTCTACCTGAAGGAACATAACCAGAATAATGACGTCCATCAATAGTACCATTATTGTAAGGATAAGGGTCCTAATTAAAAAATAATTTTTTTATTTGATGAAAAATTTCTTTTTTACCGGATTAGGCAATGCTTGATAACTCAAATTTTTATCAAAAACAGGGCCCACTGATGAAAAGTTGACCATACCATTTTGATTGTTAAAATTAACATTTTGAATGTCCTGCCTTTGAAATCTGGCATAATGGTCGGCTAAAAAAATTTTTTGATTGAAAAAAATAAAAAAAATTTTAATTTTAAACCTAGAGGATCCTCAGAAATAACACAATTATTTTGATTGTAAAAATGTTGTTGTTGAAGGTCGTGATGGATAAGAGCATTTCCTCCATTTGAATAATAAGTAGAAGGTACTTCCTATAAATTTAAAAAAAATTAGAAGAAGGTGTATATTAAAATGAGAAATATATATCAGACAGATGGGCCCAGATTAAGGAAAAGTCGGGTCTGGGCTTGGGTCGGTTCCTCAAAATTTTCTTCTGGTTGGGTTTCAGGTTGAGTCCTTAAAGAAACTCAACCCATCCCTAATAGAAATTCATGGTAGTATATACATACAACTCAAGTCTCTTCGGCCTCCAAATTAATTGGACATCCTCTCACTATGTCCAACACCAAATTTTAAAAAATCGAATGCTTTAGAGTAATCCAACCCATCCCTGATAAAAATAAAAAAATCCATGGCAAAAAATTTCTTTCTTACAATAACCGGAATAATTGAGTATGAGAGAAATAATCAAGTAAGGGGCATAAAACTAAGGTTTAGAGTCTATTAAAAATTAAAAAATCTTTCTTACAATCACCGTTTGAGCAGATTGTGTATCTTCAATAAAAGATTGATCTTGCTGTACAATTTGAACATCTGAATGGTTGCAAATAGATCCATTCCTTACATTCTGTTGTGGTTGGATTATTTGAGGTTGATGATGTTGAAAATTATTTTGTAAGGCATTCATTGTTCCATAAATTTGAATTGTTCTTCCACTACCTCCACTTCCTGTTGAGGAAGAACCATTTTGTTGTTGTTGTGAATTTCTTGCTAACAAAAAATTTTTTGTTTTAAATTTAAAAAAAAATATTAAAATAAACCTAATATTTTACGCCGCTTATTTCTTCGATTTAAATAACAAATTAAAATAATATTGAGCAATAAAAGTCCCAAAAGGCCAAAAATTAAAGCAATTATTGTTGAATGACTTATTGGTCTTTTCTGAAAAAATGAAAAAATATTAATCATATTTATGAGGTTTATATTAAATTGTGAGTTGGAGGCACCGTCTAGACAGTGATCCAGTGGCCCAATAAAATTTTTAAAACGTTTCTTAAATATTGGTTTAACTGGGTGTATCTTATAGTGAGGCGTGAACAGTAAAACCCCCCCCCCTCCCTATAATAAAAATAAAAAAAGTCGACCTTTAAAAGCATATTATCACCAATTCCACCATTATTTTGAGGCATTTCTTCCAATGTGTGAAACATTAAAGGTTGAATCAAGTCAGAAATATCACCTCTCGCATTTATTGCTCTAATTTGAAGAGAATAACCATGCTTTGTTTTCAGATCGGTTAATATAATATTCTGAAAAATTTTTTTTTAAATTATCTAGAAATTAAAAATTTTACTGAAAGGCTTGTATTTAATGTAAATAATTGATTTTCATCCATATCTTGATATATTAATTCAAATAATTGGTCAGAGCCTCCATCAAATCCTGGGATCCATGAAATTGAAGCAGACGTATTTGTTATATTAATAATTTCAATTTCAGAAGGTTGTTCAGGTGCGCTTGGTGGACCAACAGAAATAAATGAGTGGGCATGTCCGAGGCGGTTCTATAAAAAATTAAAGAATATATTTAGAAAGCTGTTTCCATCAGTATCTAATCAAATCTTAGAAAATAAACCTTAAACTAAAAGGTAACATTGTTTAATGTGTCTGAGGATTTGATATATTTTTTGATACTATTCGAGAGACTTCCTATTGCGGAGCGATAAGCGCTCATGCAAAATGACTTTGATCCGAGTTATATCTAGTCAAGGTTCGGTAGAGGTTCGATATTAAAATAATAAAGGCAGTGTAAAAGGAATAATAAAAATAAAAAAACTTACGAAAGCTCGGCACCTATAACGACGATTGTAGTCCCTTTCATCCAAATTTAAAATTGTCAAAGTACTCTAAAGTTTAAACACATTGTGTTAATTCAAATTGAAAAATGAAGAAAAAACCTGAAAAGTTGTGTGATCCAATTGAGTGTCAAAAAAGCGATATTTTGTTGTATTATGATGAATCATATGTCCTTCATCTTCAATACCCCAGTTAAATTCTGCATTTGGAACAGCACTAGCACGACAACTTGAAAAAGTATTTTTTTTAATAAATACAAAATTTCTCTTATTATACCGAAGTGTTGCTTTTCCACCAAGTGGACCAGCGGCACGATTAAATCCAGGCCTTTTAACAATTTCGGGTGCACGACGAACCAAAAGGTAAGCAATAGAAGAATTTGGCTATAGAAAAAGTAAAAATTAAAATTCTGTTAGACAAGAAAACGAGCATTTTCACTCGGTTCCCGATCACGAAGAATTTTATTAGGACCGAAATCCTAGCCAAAATATATCTGAAATTACAAAAGTTCCCAAAAAAGCAAAATATCGAAAAAATGGTTGTCCTAAACCAATTCCATTATTTCACCAAAAAATCACTGAAAAAGAACCTTTCCAATTCCATTATCTACAAGACATGTATAAGCCCCACTATTTTCATGTGTCGCAATTATTCTCAAAACAGAGCGGTGTTGTTCCAAAAGAAAAGGTTTGACTTCTTCTTGTCCTCTAAACCATCTAATCATTCCAAGTTTTAATGGGTTTCCATCTACTTCACATTCCAAAACAATATCTTCACCAATACTGAACGGGAAAATTAATTTCAAAAAAATTTTTTTAAAAAACCTAGCAATAACAGGATTATTTATTCGAACAATTCTTGCTGCATATTCAACAACTAACTAAAAGAAAAAAATTTTAATTAAAACTTTTTCAAAACAAACAGAAATTGTAGCATTTGCTGTCCCTACACCATTTGAAACCAATAAAGTATAAATACCAGTATCTTCTTTTGTGACACCAATACCTATTGAAAAAATAATTTTATAAAAAATGAAATAAAACTCTTTTACTTTCCATACTACAAAAATAAGATGGGGAACTTTCTTGTGGAATTTTTGTGTGGCCTATTTTGTGTGTAAATCAGGGTTGGGCTAATTTCGCATCTTTCGAATATTTCACATTTTTCAGCAAGAAAAGTTTTGCTTTTTATTCTTAGATTTCGCCCAGCCCTGGTGTGGATCTTTGTGACTATTCCTCTATTTTCCTCATTGTGCTTTGGAATTCAATTAACTACTACATAATAAAGAATTATTTTTTGGCAAGAGAACTGAGGGAAATAGAAAAATTGAGCAAAAGAATGCTACTGAAAAAACACCAAAATTTTGAGTAGACTCATGAATCACCATTACTAAACGAAATATCCCTATAATATAAAAAATAAAAAAAAACCTCCAATAACTGATTGTCTAACAAAGATAGTCCCAATAGAACGATCTATAGTAAATCCATCCTTGCGCCAAGCATAAGCATTAACTCGAGGATTTGCATAAATTGTTACATTTTCTTCAAAGGATTGTCCCTCTCTAACAAGTATTGACATTTGACCTTCAATTGGAATACGAGGAGGATCTATTAAAAAAATTTAATAAATTTTTCATTAGTAAAAAAATTTCTTTTATTTTTTGTTCACTTGGAGTGCAAATTTCGAGATGTATGTATTTTTTCGACCATTTTATAAATTACAAAGAAGATTCCGTTTACTTACAAAAGGAGTTTAAAGGAAGTTATAGACGTGCAAAGTTCCTCTTTTCTGCAAGCCTACTTTCTAGTTTCCCAAAGACCGAAACATTGAATGTTCATCAAACTCATTTTGCAAGAAAACAGAACACTTCACAATAGTCTGGGATCCTCTATAGAATTGTACAGTTAAAATATACCAAATTCGCATTGATATCAAAAGTTGCTTTAATTAAAAAATAAACAAACATTTAATATCCAAAGCAAAAGTTCCATATTTCTTCTCATTCCATAAATGATGTGAAGCAATACAACGAACTTCAGCCCCATCCATTGCTTCAGTCGGAGTAAATTGGATAATATTTTCTGCTTCATAGCCGTGATATTCTCCAACACTAAAATTTTAAAAAATCAAAAATAAAAATTTTTTAATCCAACGGTTTGCTCGATTTTCTAATTTGTTCACCATTCCTTGATATTGTCAATTGCTTATCCACAGTATTTGGAAATTCCCAACTTAATTCAGCCATAGGATTCGAGGAGGGAATTGTACAAGATAATTCTGTTGGGGAATTGGCAATCTGTTTTAGAAGAAAAAATTTTTAATTTCAGAAAAAAATAAAAAGTATTACCATATGAACATTTCTTGTAGGCTTAACTCGAACTTGAATTGGTGGAACTACAAATTTTTTTTTAATTTTGAAAAATTATTCAATGAATTAAAAAAAGTATAAACCATAAAAAATTAAAAAAAAACTAACACAAAACAACCAAATTCTTTTTAGCAATAAGAGGTAAATCAGTAGCACCATTTTCAGCTTCACAACGAATTTGTTGACCATTCATTGCTCTATCAAGTAAAAGTGTTAAGGTACTAATTGAGCTATCGCCATTTAACGTATTTTCAGTTTCTTTTAACTATGAAAAAATAAAAATTAATTAATTTTAAATGAAAAAAAAATTTTTTTTAAATATATACAGGTTCACAGACTTCACAGACTAACAGAGAGAAAAAAGAGGCAAATGACAGGAGAAAAAATTAAAGAAAAATTCATATGTAAAGATAACCAAACACCAAAAACAATTGACTAACTATACTATATTTAGGTATTCTCTCAACCTGTTTCCATCTGATTTTTTTCTTATGATGAGAATGCTGCAAACTATTATGGGTAAGTAATTCAGAAGAAAAATGTTTGCCAGAATTCTTTAATATTTTATAAATATGTATACTCAAAGATTTTTAAAATTAAACCCCAAAAATTCAGACAATGAAGTTAGAAAAATTGTTAAGGGATCGAATTGTTAAGGGATCGAACTCTAAAAACAACCGTCGGTCACACCTAATATGACTTCCCAATATAATCTCTACTCCTTGTAGAATCACCATGTATTCTCAAAATTTAATTTTCAAATTCTCAAGGCCCTCGTAATTTTTTAAAATTATTAAAAAAATTTTAAAAACCTTCTCAACTCCACGAAACCAAGAAATTGTAGCAAATGGGTGACCTCCCTGAGACTCGCATGTTAAATTGTATAAAACACCCTCTAAAGGCACAGTATTTGTTTCACTTTCAGAAATGACAGGATGTGAAGGTGGCGCTAAAAAAGAGGAAAAATTTTCAATGAAAAATTAGAATAAATTAAAAAATAAACAGGTTAAAAGGTCATCAATAAAAAAGATTTTTAATTAAAAGAAACTAACATAAAACTCGAATTATATGAGATTTTTGCACGGGAAGTTCAACACCATTACTAGCAATACAAGCCACCAAAATTTCATTTTGTCCATGTAAAAGCATCGTTGAATCAATTGTAATATTTGATTGAGTTACAAATCCCTAGAAAAATATCAAATTAAAATCTCTCTCGCCAAACAATTACAAGGTTTTTAAAACACATTTTCAAATAAATGGGTTTCACGTGGTTTTTCATAATTTTATTTTACACAACAGATTAAACACCCAGCAAAATATACAACAATTCCAAAAGAAAAGTCATATCTGGTGTAGTGGGTTAATGCTTTGTTCGAGGGGGTTCTAAAGACGAAGGTTCAATACCCATCGTGAAAGAATTGCCTTTTATTTTTTATAATAAAAACACTAAAATTAGAAATCAGAATTTTTCAGAATGACCAGAATTTCAATTCTTTCCTACCAAAAATCTAAAAAATCAAACAAAAACCTGTAATTGTTTAGTTTTATGTTGTATTTGTTTTTGAGTAGGTGACCCATTTATTTGCCAAGTAATTGTTGCTGCTGGAGAAGAGACACTGTAAAACAAAAAAAAATTATATATTCAAAATTTTTTTAAAAAATAACCTTGAAGTACAAGACATTGTTAAAGCTTCGCCTTTTCGAACAACAGTACTTCCATAAAGAAAAACATTTGCGGGAGGGTCTAAAAAATTAAAAAAAAATTTTTAAAGCTCAAAAAAATTATTTAAAAAATACTTACAATCAACATGTAGCGTAATTCGATTAATTAAAGGTGTCATGTTGGAATGTGATTGACTAGTACATTCAAAAGTTACGTCATTATCAGCACCAGAAAGAATAAAAGAAAGCTCGTTTTGAGTTATCTATTAAAAAAAATATAAATTTTTTAGAAAAATTTCATTCAATTTTACAAAAATTTTCTCTTTTTAAATAGAGGTAGGTTTCACTTTCACACGGGAACCTTTCAAACTGTGCAAAAATTTTTAAATTTATATGAAGCAGGGATCTTGCCGACCCGATTCCCAAAAATCGAAATTTAATTTTTATGTCGGCTAATCCCTGATATGGTGGTCGATAACCTAATTACAATTTTTGGCTTTAACACCCATATAAAAAATTCCCAAAAATGGCAAAAGGTCAAACAGAAATACGATTATTTTAAAAATTTTTAGTCAAAGTTCGAAAAATTCGTTTTATAAATTCTAGAAGTGTCAAAAAATTTATTCAAAAAACAATAAGAATTAACCTGACTAGACTCATCATAAACAAAAGTTGAATTTAATTGTCCTTTTTGATTATTAGACCAAAGCAATTGTGGTGGAGGATTACCCCCTTCAGCAATACACAATAAAGTTATATTTTGGCCAGCTAAAAGAGGAGTATCACCACCATTTGTTCCTCCAATTAAATCAATTTTTGGGCGATCAGAAGAATCTTTTTTAATAAAAAAATTTTTTAACGTTACATTTTTGTGGGAAAGAGGAAAACTATTTTAACAAAAACTCGTGCCCAAACATCTTTCCTTGTCCAAAAATTATTGGGTATCCTGATTTTTCCCTTTAATTTTCCAGTCAAGTTATTCTTTCAAGTAGTGTTATTCACGGTACCGTATTACCGCGGTATTTTTCGGTAATACCGCGGTATTTTTACCGAAATACCGATACCGAATACGGTACCGAACAATTTTTAAAAAATCGGTATTTTTTCGGTATCGGTATTTTACCGAAAATACCGATACCGAAAAACGCGTTTGAATAACACTACTTTCAAGAGATCATGTCCAATTTTTTAAATTAAGTTTTCCCTTTGTTTTAATGTTTTAATAAAAACAAGTAAAACTATTTACAAAAAAGCGTAAGAATATTTTACAGACTGCCACAATTTGAAACAACAAGAGAAAAGTTAAATATAATCCTAAATGTCGACAAATTTTTCCCAAAAAAACTGAAAACATGTCTGAAAAGCTAAAGAAAAAATCAGAGTCCCCAAAAAATGTCTGGACAAGTTTGAAAAAAATTTGTTAGAAAAAGAGTCAAATTAAAAATGAACCCAAAATAATTTTTAAAAATAAAAAATTTTTCCTTACAATAAACATCCAAAGTAATAAAATCCCTCATTTTCGTAGACGTTTCAGAATGAGTTGCTTCACAGGAAATGACAATATTATGATGAATTTTACTAAAATTTTTAAAAAATAAAAAAAAATAATTTAAAAAATACCCTGGCCTCAAAACAAGACTTGCAAATGTATTAATTGTTCCATTTTTTAATAAAATAAAATTTCTAAAAATATTTTCTGTTGCCTTCTTTCCATTCAAAAAAATATTTAAATCAGCCTAAAATATTTATTTAAAAATAAAAAAAATTAAAAAATAAAAAAACCTGAGGTTTTGATTGTTCAGAAATACAAGTTAAATTAATTTGTGAGCCTTCATTGACTATTAGAGTTTGTCCAGATTGAAAATTTTCGAAACGAACAGTTCGAGGTGGGACTAGAAAAATGAAATAAAAATTTTGAAAAAATAAACAAGCTTAAAAAAGAAAGAAAAAAGTCGTATTGGATAAAAAAGAAAACTATTCCAATAAGCCTAGAAAGCCCAAAATATAAAAATCAAACCAGAGAGGATCGAATAAAAGAATTTCTACTTCGTTTCGGGGCGAATCAAAACGATATAAACTAAATTTCGATTATCCCTGATTCAAACGGGGATATCAATTCATCAATAAAATTTTTACCACATTAAATATAGACAAGCAAGAATTTATAAAAAAATTTAAAAAACCCAGTTAAAAGCAACAAAAAATAAAATAATGGAGAAGAATCAAAATTAAATAGAAAGGAGAGAAATTATTGAGGAGCTAAGAAAAGAGTGAAATGGAGAGAAAAGTGCAAAGAGATAAATTTTCAAAATTTTGACAAAAAATGAAATTTAAAAAATACCCAAAACTTCAACAAAATCATGCGAACGCAAAAATACTCCATTTGGCCCAATAACTTGACATTGAAATTTTCCATCATCATCAAGAGTCAAATTTGAGATAGCCAAGTTTAATTCATCATTTGATTCTTTCAATAACCTATAAATAAAAAATTTTTTAATTAAAAAATAAATGAGGGAAGGAGGAAAAATTTTGCAGAAATTTCAGAAAATTTTTTAGGAGCTCTAATTGATGGGGATTGACCCTCAGTAACAAGAAAAAAACCAAGCATAGCCAAAAGGATTCGAACCTTCCTCAACATGTAAATCCATCAATATTCACCAATAAAATCTCACAACTAGGGGTGCCGGTTTCAACCCGAACCAACAAACCAATGATTTTAGGTTCGGTTTCTTGGGTCGGTTAACCGAAAAATTTGGTTAAGACCGATAACCAACTCACAACAGAAAATTCCACACATTTTAAGTAAACCCCAAAATTTAATAAAAACAAACTTGTAACGTCCAGAAAACCCAGGAACAATATCATCATCTTTTTCTTTGTCCATAATCCTGTCTTTTGTATACCATTGAATTTGAAATGGAGAATCAGTTTGAGCAATTGAACATTCAAGTAAAATATCAGAGCCTTTAAATTGGATTTTTTTAGAAAATTTGTGGCAAGATTTCAAGGGAAAACAGTTACAGCTTTTAAGGGGAAACAATGACAATGAGTTGAAGCAAACGGAATTCGCAAAATCTTAAGGAAGTTAAATCCTTGCGACAGTAAACTATCAGTGGATTGAGGATCTCTATGACTAAATTTTCCTTAAAAGTTCGTACCAAAACCCTTCTAAAGTATTAACAATTCCAAATATCGTCTTTAAGCACCCATTTAAAAAAATTCGAAAACAAACCAATAATGGCAGAATAATTTTTTGGTAATTCATTGAAATGAATTTTGCGTGTCTCTACATTGAGTGAATATAACCATAAAGTGAATAAAACCAAGTGAATTTTTGAAGAAAATAAGTTTAATAAATTTAATATTAAAGGCATCTATTAAAAATTTTTTTGAAAATTTTAAAATAACGAAAAAACAAAATAAAAGTTGAACGCGATGAAAATGAGGGGTCAATGGGAAAAGAAGTGCGCGAAACTCTCTAGAATTTTAGAATTCTAGAATTTTAAAGATCCATGATTTCAGTTTTGGTTGAGTACCTCGACCATTTCATTAATTCGAGTCAAGAAAAAATCAAGGAACACTTCGGATCCGGATCAGGAAAAATCAAGGTTCCCCACCCTTCCTCACATTTTTCTTTACACATCAAGGCCTCTCTAAAACTTTTTGTTTTAATCTCGGAATATACCTATATAGATTTTTTTGGAAGTTTTAAAGTAACAAAAGGGTATCTACAAAAACCACAAAACCCAACAAAACAACAATACAAAAAAGGAAATGGCAAAACAAAATTTGTGTGTTGCCCCCCCTCCTCTCCCTCACTTTTTTCTTTTTTCCGTTACTTTTATTTTTGTTGTTTTCCTCTGTTTTCCCTCCGAAATTGTTTAGCTCCCCAAGTAAAAGAGAGAGGAAATGACCACAAAAAGAAAGAAAGGGAAAAAACACACCATTTGTTGAAAGGGCAAAGCAATTGAAATGTTTTGGTGGTTGATGAAGAGCGCGAAAATATTCATAAAAATAAACATTGCACGCCAATTTTGGTTATAAAAGAAAGGCCAGATTTTGGAAGCAAAGTTGGAAAATTTTGGAAAAATTTTTTGTAAAATTTCAAAAAAAAAGGACGCCAAAATATTTAACAAAACAACAAAAACAGGAAAAAAGATAACATTTAATCAAATCGAATATTTGGACAAAATGGTCAAAAATTGATTTTTAGACAATTTGCCACAATTTATAATTTTTCAAAACGTCGATAAGTGGAAAATGGGACATTTGGTCGTAATTAGAAAAAAATTTTAAAAAACGGATTTTATGACTTAACGACTTGATAAACCACTAAAAATTAAAAAAATTAAATTTTATAAATATATTGATCAAAAAAGTAATGAAAAAATAGAAAAAAATAAAACGAAAAGTAAAAGAAAATAAATATGTATTTCCATTTTTGGGGGCATTTTCTCACTTTTTTTATTATTTTTTATTTATAGCTTCCATTTTCTTTTCCTATATGTATTCGATTGGAAAAAAATAAAAATACAATAATTTATATATTTATTAAGGCAAAAACTGACAGATTTTTTTATAGAGGGGAGCTTCTTATTAATATTTCTTGGGGAAAGGGCAAAACACCGTCCGACAAAAATACCGTCCAACGATTAGACTTATGTTTATCTTATTTTTTAGACTTAACGGCTATTGGGTTTTGGTTAATACCTCAACTCTTAGGCCTAAAAATTTAATTTTATTTTAAAATTTGTTTACTCAAAGAGAATCCGGATGGTATTTTTTTACTCCGAGTCTGGACGGTATTTTGGTCGGACGGTGTTTTGTCCCGACACGACTATTAATTTTTATTATTTGGCAAAATAGGAAGAAAGTTGGGCAAGAAAAACAAAAAAATTAGAAAAAACTTTTTTGCCCCCCCCCCCTCCCCTCTCTATTCTTCTAATTTTACAAGAGAGGGAAAAATTTTTAAGAGAGAGAGAAGGTCAACTGTTCTTAAAAAGTTCTTCTTAAAAAGGTTAAAAACGGAAGGATTTAAGCTTAAGATTTGGCAAAAAAAGGAAGGAAAAAAAGTTATTTGGCCTATTGACTATTCACAAACATTAAAAAAATAAAGTGGCAATGACCAAACCACCAAATGGTGTTTGTATAAATGAAAAAGTAATGGGGGAAGGGGGTGATAGGAGGGGATAATGAATAAATAGAGTAGTGATGCTTTAAATTGTAATAAATAAAATAATGAGAAAAAGAAAAAAAATAAATTAATAATAAAAAATGGGATAGAATTTTTCTTCTAATATAGTTTAACAAGAAAAAATAGCTTGTCAAGTTAGTTTATTCATCTTACAAAAATCCAAAAAATTTTAAAAGAACAGAACTAGGGTGCCCGCTCGCTCGAACCGAACTCGAAAGATCGAGCAAGCCGAGGGTTTTCAGTTCGAATAGCTCGAAAACGAACCGAATCGAAAAAGAATCAAGCTCGAAAAAAATGCACCGAAAAAATGAACCGTTGGCTCGAATCGAAAATGGCAACCCTAAACAGAACGTTGTCAGTAATATTTAGTTGATTAAAAATTGAATTGAAAAAATTTTTCTTGCAAAATTTCGGAAAAAAATTTTTTCCAAAAGGGAGACAAAATTTTTTTTGGCTTTCAAAGAATGGCAGAACTCAAATGGTATTTTTAATTGTAGTTAATGACCTTTTACTAGGCTTAATCCTCCCTCACACTTTCAAATAATTTATTGAAAATGGTGACAATTCGGAAAGTTTAAAACAAAAGAAATAGAGGGTAGATCAAAGGGTCTCGTTTCTATTAAATGGTCAAATAAATAAGTGAAAATAAAAATGTGTGTGTGTGTGACAATTGTTGACAAAACACATAAAAAGTATATAATTAATTAACTTTAAATTGCCACCTCTGTTTTAAATTTTTTTCGAGAAGAGGCGGTAAAGAAGTTTTAATTTTCCTAAAAAATTTTCTAAGCGATTGGAATTAAACTTTAAGGCAGACTAGGTAAAGGATACGGATACAGATAAATTCAAAATGCCTGAGGATATCCACCTGTATCCGCTGTAAATATTCGGATGCCAAAATCCATGTACATTACAAAGTCTGGGTAATCTTCCGCTTTACTGGTTCCTAGAAAAAAAGTGGTAGAAGTACTTTTTCGGTATTTTTGAGGTCTGTCATTAGGTAATCAAGTGTGCTGAGTCCGAATATAGGCTTAGAATTTTTTTATTATAAGGACCCGAATTCGACCAAGTCGAATTCGGGGTAAAAATTCGAAACTATTAGGCTATCGCTATTCTGACGCACCTCTTCAAGCTGAGTCAAATGATATCAAAATTATTTTGTTTCGACAACTTTAGACTGACTTATGATCAGTTAAATATACGCTTGATTAGACTTAGTATATAAATCAGACACCATAACTTAGTCTAAAAATGTCGGAATGTAATAATTTTGATACCAATCGACTCAGCTCGAAGAGACAAGTCAGATTAAACAAAATTTAGAATTTATACCCCATGTTTTGACATGGTCGAATTCGGGTTCTGGGTTCGAAATAAACAAATTCTAGGCTCATATTTGGACTCAGCAAACTCGATTACCTACTTGCATGCCTCAAAAATGTCAAACTAGCATTTTTTCACCATTTTTTTCTAGGGACCAGTAAAGCGGAAGATTACCAAAGTCTGGTTTAAGGGTATATAGCCAAATCCCTGTATAAAAATAATAAAGTGGCATCTCTCAAGAATTTAGCTGGCATAACAAGAAAGGTGGAAAAGGCGACATATTCATGGAGGTCTCGAGTAGGGTCAATTAAGGGGTCAAAAGGGATCAAACAAAAAATAGCAAATGAGTGGGGCAAGGTTTAAAATTTGAAACGTTAATAAAATAAATAAAATAAAAAAATAAAAAATTCCCCTAAAATTAATTTTTAACTGAGAAAATGGTTAATTTTCATTTCAGTTATCTTGCCCCTATCGTTATGTCAATGACTGTAAATAAACAAAAAAATATTTCAAAAATAAAAAAACAAAAATAGGCAAAGAAAAAAAACAAAAAAAAACGTCAAAACCACCCAATAACACTCCCTCCCTTCCTTCTCGTTTTCCTCAAATGGTCACTCTTATAGATCAATATAAAAAAATAAAATATTAATAATAATAAATGCCGCCATACATTATTATTTCCTCCTTTCCCCCCTTTTTTTAGTTCGTTCGGGTATTATCTTCATTTAATATTTTTTACTGCTTTGGCATTTGGTTGAGGGAAAAGAAAAGAGGAAACTAAAAAACTATTATAAAAAAACTAAAAAAAATGTTGGCGGCGGCAACAAAAAAATTTTTTCTGATAAATGTGTTGAGAGTGCCAAAAAAAGTGGTGGGCCTATTTAGAGGAAAAGGATTGAATGAAAATATGAATAGCCAAAAAAACCGGAATTTGAAGCAACAAAGGGAGATAAAAAAGGCATAGAAAGAAGGCGGGATTGAGAGAAAATAAAAGGAGGAAATAGGGGAGAGGGCTAAAAAACTAACTTTTTAAAAATTGTTGAAAGGCAAAAAATGGTCAGTAAACAAAAAGAAAAAAATTCCGAGAAAAAAATACGTAGAAAGGACGATTTTCAACAAGTTGGATTCGAACCTTCCCCTTATATTCTCTTTTGTCCATTCAAAACCTAGTCGTTTCCAACTACACCAGAATTCCAAGTTTTTTTTATTCTAAATTGTAAAACAGGCGTTTTTAAAGTTGTAAAACTTGTGTTGTTAATTAAGCATGTTTTTATTATTCGCAACAAAACATTTTTTAGACTAGATGTTGTCCTATTATTAAAAAAACATTAACAAAAACAAAAACATTAATAAAAACATGTTTTTGTTATGTTTTAAAATAAAAACAACTTTAAAGTAACTTGATACTTAAGTTTGTAAACTTAAAAACAAGTTTAACATGAAAACAAGTTTATTTTTTAAAAAGAAGCTTTTCTAATAAAGATGGTGGCCATTTAAAAAGGTGGATCTTTTAAAAAAAATAATGTGGTCAATATCCACTTCCAACTTTTAATATTTAAACATAACAATCTTTATAAGCTTCAAATATCTTAGTGAAATGAGTCAAAATTGAAGAACGAAAAAAAGAAAAAAATTTTCTTGGCCATTTGTTGTGCAGTTTAATGACAAGGAAGAAAAAAAGGAAAAGAAAATTTTGGTTCCTCCCAGTGGGAAGTGAATTGACTAAAAATAAAGACTAGACTGACTTCTCGGCTTTCAAATGGTCAGTTTTTAGTTGTATATAACCAACTTTTATTCATTGAATTTGACAATAACAAAAACAACAACTGACACACTTTTTAAAATATTTTTAACAACAAAACAACAAAAGTCTCCAAAACATTTAAAAAAAGTTTTTCTAGATTTTATCTATTTTTAGGACAACAAAAACATTATTAAAAACATCATTAAAAACCTAATATTTAGATGTTTTGTTGTTGATATAAATGTTTTGGTGAACAAAACATGTTTAATTAGAAAAACAATTTACAATTGTAAAACGCCTGTTTTACAATTTTTGATCCTTAAAAACATGACAAAAACATGTTTTTGTTGCATAAAATGTTTTTAATGAAGGAAAACAAAAAATTTTTTAGTTGGATGTTTTGTTGCTGTTAAAAATGTTTTGTTGATAATACTAAAACATGTTTTAATTAGAAAAACAATTTACAATTCTAAAACGCTTGTTTTACAATTTTAATCCTTAAAAACATAATAAAGACATGTTTTTATTTTCCTTTGCTTTTTAATAGAGGAACACAAAACATTTAAAAAATGTTTTGTTGATAATACTAAAACATGTTTTAATTACAAAAACAAACAAAACAAGTTTTACAATTTTAATACGCCTGTTTTACAATTTATGAAAGCAAAACTTGGAGTTGTAGTGTAGTTGGAAACGACTGGGTTTTGACAGAGTATAAGAGAAGATACGACGAAGGTTCGAACCCCACTGATGGAAAAGATTTTTTTCATCGAAAATAAACTTATAAATACAAAAATTAAAACAAAAAAGACTAAAATTGGGCTTATAACAATTTTAAAATTCGTTAGTAATTGGAAAAAGACCTATTTTTAGACAAAAAAACAACAGATTTCATATAGTCTGTCTGAAAATGTAATTTAATTAGAGCAAAAAATTTTATTTCACATAAAATTTTATTATTGTTGCAACTTTATACACCTTTGTAGACTATAATAAAATTTAGAATTCGATCAAAAAAATTTTTTAAGATCAAAAATTGCTTCTTTTCTCTATACTAAAATCACTTTTACACTAGAAAATTAATTGTTTTTTTAAATAAGACTAATAAAAGTGTGTGTAAAGTAGAGCTATATTTTGCCAAAAAAAATTGTTAAAAGGCCATTAATTTTTTTATATTTTTTGGTAAATTAATCACAAACACAATCCGTGCAAGTGCCTCTTCTTATGTGCACCAAAAAAATTTTTTAAAGCAAAACAAAACGCCCAGATTTGATTTTCCCTTCCTTAAAAACATTCTAGTGCACCACCCGAATTAAAAAAAAATTTTTGCTGCCTCAAAAATAGATTAATTCTTTTTTTTAAACAATTTTAAGGTTGTCCAAAGAATATTATTTTTAAAAAAAATTGAAAGGCAAAGAAACAAAGTTTGAAAAAAACTTAATATTTTTACAACTGTCAGAGAGTAATTTTGTAATAAATAAATACTAAATAAATCACTCTCCCTTTCCACTATGTGTGGCAATAAAGAAGATATTTAAAAAATAAATCCTAGCCTTTGAAAATTTTTGAGAAAATAAATTTTTAATTTATTTAAAAATCAAATTGAATTTCCAAAAAAAAATTTTCAAAAAAAAATTTTTTTTAATTAATTTTAGAAATTATTTATGGATTTAATGAGAGAGAAAATTAATTTCAGAAAAAAAGGAAAATTAATTTTCTCTTTGAACAAATCTAATAAAATTTTACTAGTATTATTGGCACACAAATAAAGCTTAAAAAGAAAGAGGTATTAAAAAGGATTCCGTATAAAAATAATAAAAAAAGAAATTAATGTGCTAATAAACAAAAATAAAGGTTAAAGGAAGATTTTTCTTCTCTCATTTTGGATGACAAAAACTGTCAATTTTTCCGGCTGAGCCCCTTCTTCTACTCTTTTTACCCCCAAAAAGTCGCGTTTTTACTTCATTTATATATAAATTTTATTTTTCAATTAGACTTGGATTAGTGTTTATTGTAGCGAAAATGAAGTGAAAAATAAATAATAGAAAAACAACAAAATGTGTGTGTGAAAAAATATTAAATTGGATATTTAGAGGAAGAAGCTGCGCGAATCCGTTTGTAAATAGGTAAAACAAGAAGAATAATAATAAAACATTATAATTAAAAAGTTTCAACATGCTTTGAAGAAAATAAAGTTGGGATAATGTTGTTAGAGAAAAGGTGTTTTGTAAAACAAGTTGGTAAAACAAAAAAGTTTAAAGAAAGTTTCTGAAAAGTATTGCAAAAAAACAAAATTCTAAAACAAGTTGGAAACAGTAAAAGTAATGTTTTGTAAAACAAGTTGGTAAAACAAGTTTAAAAATGTTTTGAAAAAGGCGGGTGAGAATTGTAAAAACAAAATTGTAAAACAAGTTGGAAAAAAGTTAGAAACAAGTTGGAAACAAAAATAACTTTTTGTTTTATCAACTTGTTTTAGTTGTTGTTGTAAAACAAGTTGGAAAACAAAAATTGTAAAATAAATGTTGGGGAAGTTTTAATGTATTTTGTATATTTGATTTTATCTAGCCAACAAGGTGGCTAAAACACAAATTTTAAATACGTTTGTGGTATCAAAAAAATTCAAAAATATTATGAAAATTATTTTATCTAAAATGTCGGCATAAATATTATCATAAAAGAATGGAATATTGCCTGCTCGTTAATATTAATTTGAGGCGATAAAAATTATGAGTGAGAAAGATGGGGTTGTAAAAGGTGGCGAACACTATTAAACAAATTTTGAATATAAAAAAGAATTAAAAATGACCAAAAAACAATTTTTTCAAATTTTAAAAATTTTAAATTAATTTTTAATAAAAAATAATAGAAACATAAGAATTTAAAAGTTTCAACATGTTTTGGGAAAAAAACTAGAACAAATGTTTGTAAAAAGAAAAAGAAGAGAAAAATGTTTTGTTTAAAAAGTTGCAAAAGTTCCTGAAAAAAGGTTAATAAAAATTGTAAAAAAAAAGTTGGAGAAGTAAAAACAAAATTGTAAAAACAAGTTGGGGAACAACAAGTTGGAGAAAAAGGATTGTAAAAAAAGCAACACAAAAGGATTGTTAAAATTGTGAAACAAGTTGTAAAACAAGCTGGAAAAATTCCAAGTTGTAAAACAAGGAGAAAAAATAAAAATTATAAAAACAATGTTGGGGAACAAAAAATTGTAAAACAAGCTGAGAAAATACTAAACTGTAAAACAATTGTAAAGCAAGGATTGTAAAAACAAGTTGAGGAAAAATAAAAATTGTAAAAACAAGTTTTGGTAAAAATCAACAGTTAAAAACATTCAACAAATAGTTTTAAAAACTTATTGATTCTGTTTACTTTTAAATAAATAAAATAGCGTGCCAAGTACTTTATATTTTATATAAAAACAATTTTATTGTTATATATTTACTACAAATAACAAAACAAAACAAAATTCATTTGGCCACAAAGGAAGGGAGGATTTTGCGGGATTTCTTCTCCCTCCCTTATATATTAGCACTCATTGCAATTAGTGAGATTTGGCACAAGCAAGGAGGAGGAAGGGGGAGGAGAATAATATATAAATTTGAAGGATGATGAAAACGAGGGGAGGAAGAGGAAATGTGTATGAAGTGGAAAATGATGGGAAAGGAAAGGAAGGATTTCATGTCAAAAGACCAACAAATAAAAATCTTAAAAGGTCGAGATTTTTTAAAAAATTGTTAAAAAGGTCAAAATTCGCAAAAAAAATTTCCAAAAAATTAAAATTAACAAAAAAAACCACCAGCCTCTAGATTTCGATTTGAGAAAAAAAATTTTTAAGAAAAAAGGATTTTATAAATTTTTTGATATGCGGTAGCGCAATAATTAAAAGGGAAAAGCGTTTCTTCTAATGAGACAAAAGGATGAGAGAAATATATATTATTTTCCGAGCATGTAATTTAAATAAAAATATGTTTGTATGGTCTAATTAAGAATACTTACATTATTGCAAATTAAAGAAGAAAAAAATTGAAGAAATAAAACACGCGCATCATTTAATATTTAAAATAACTAATCTTGAAAATGTAAAGAGGGATGGATCAAAAATCGGATTAGAAAGTTGATTAATTTATTTAATAACCCAAAAAATGTTTTCGGCCTAACTGTTGTGTCCGCACTTGCAGAAAGAACATAAATGAAAATAAATAACCCAGCATTGGGTTGGATGGTGGCACAGTCGGTTGAAAAAGGAGAAGACCCTGTGAGAAATTAAATGCCTGAGTTGTGATAGGCTAGCCGGTGTTGCGAGGCTAATATAATATAAAAATGCGTAAGGCGCATGAAGCGCAGCATATGCCACAAAATGGGTTTATGTGTGTGCTTTTCAAAATCGAAACAGATGATAGTTATAGAAGACAAGCAACAAGCGAGGACGCTTGATTTCGCAAGGCGGAAGGAGTGTTGTGTCCGCACTTGCAGAAAGAACATAAATGAAAATAAATAACCCAGCATTGGGTTGGATGGTGGCACAGTCGGTTGTGCTTCGGTCTGGGCTCATTCCGTGATGGTTCAATTCCATCTCCCATCCACACATTTTTCCACAGCATGAACATCGGACATGACACTAACAAAATGAAAAAAAATTTTGAAAAAGAAATAGAGAAAATCTCGTTTTATCAAAGTTTTTTGCTTATAACTTTTTCTTTTACCTAAAATTGTGATTAACATATTATTTTGTAGCAAATTTTCTTGGCTATTCAACGATATAAAAATTCAACGATATAAAAATTTTTAAAATCTGTTCAGTTATCTCGAGTTATGAAGGTTTAAATGACGTGCGGTCAATTTTTCCCTTATAAACTTTTTTGGTGTAGTCGGTAAAATTTGAGTTTTCACCCTAAAAGGATGAAGGTTCGAATCCCACTAGTGGAAAACAATTTTAATATTCCGAAAAACAATTTTAATTATTAAAAAAATTAATTTTCTCTTCAAAAAAATTTATTTTTCTATTTTTTCAACCTTTTTAAGAAAAGTTTATTTAAAAATAACGACCAAAGGTTATTTTTAAACAGGGGAAAATATTCAAAGAAACATTTCTCATCATTTAAATGCAGAAAAAAAAGAACGAAAGAGCGGGAGAGAGAGATGCTTTTGCTTTTTAAGCAACAAGAAAATGCTTTAACATACTTTAGTTTATTTTTATTTTTATTTATATGCCATCAGCGAAAAATAAATAAATTGGATTGATTAACACAAATTTTATGCTTTGCGCTCTTAACTAGAAAAATTTTATTTCCTCTTCCTTTTTAAATTAATTTTTAAACAAGAGTGTGTTGAGTAAAAACTTGTTCAACCTCCCTCCCTTGCCTCTACTTTGACCGCAAAAGTGGACCCGCTATAAATTTTATTTTATTATTATGTTGCTTTGCTTTATTACCTCCTAGTTTTAAATATTAGCTTATTTAAATATTTATTTTGAAGTATTTGTGGGAGAATAATAATTATTATTATAAAAGTATAGTCGGTCACTATAAAATAATTCAATATTTATTAGATGATAATGAGCCCGGATTGGGAGGATCGTACGAGAATCTTGAAAAAATCTCGATCTAGAGAACCAAAATTTTTTGATCGAGATCAAGTCTCGATCCGGGCTCTAGCTTATAATGAGGTCCGATGTACGAAAACAGAGAAATCTAAATTACTGGGAAAGAGGGTAGGGGAAGGAGAGGAGGAGAGGGACTGATTAACTAGAAGAACTGGAAAAAAATTTTTTTGTCAATCTTACAAAACAGGACTGGATCCATTTCCGCGTTCCGCCTTTCGCAGAATTCCGCCTTTTTGGCCCTTCCGCTTTCTTCCACATTTTAAGATTCAAAATTCTCCAGCCCCATTGCAAACTTACAGAAAAAACTTTATTTCCTACTATATATGTATTTTTAATTAAAAGATTCTCCCACCAAAAAAATTTAAAAAAATATAAGAAATTTCAGATTTAAAAGAAGAAATAAAATATTTAGTTATTAAAAATGTAAAAAAAGTGCCTGTCTAATGGTCATTTTAAACTTTGAAAAAAAATGAAAACTGAGTAGCTGGGAATATTTTTTTCTCAATTTTTTTAGGATCCCACAGGTCTCTTTCTAACATTTTTTAAACGGGCAAGAGGTTTTGGGGCATTTTTTGTGTGCCAAGTTATTTTTAAAGAAAAATATGTAGGGGATAAAAGGTCAAAAAGAATAGTGAAGGTTTGGGGGAAGGGAGAGGAGGTGGAGAAGGTGGTGGACATTAAAGTATATTTGAATGAATAGAGTTAAATATAAATCTGATTCGAGAGGACTGGGGTTATCTGAAAAGGGTATCTAGGGATATCTTGAGAAAAGGATATCTGAAAGGTTTAAAGGGATTCGTGAGATGCGGCGACTATCTGAGAGCTTGAGGACGAGGGGAAGAGACTGGACAGGGATTAGGGATCTGCGTGTCCGGAAATTTAGGGAGTGGACATTTGGGGAGTGGACAATTGGGGAGTGGAAATTTGGGGAGTGAGCGGACATTTGGGGAGTAGACAATTGGGGAGTAGACATTTGGGGAGTGAGGATTAAAAAATAATTTAAAAATAGATTTTTTGGACAATAAAAATAATTTATACACTAGTAAAGCTGTTTTTGTGGAGTTTCAAAGATTTTAAAGATATTTTGATGTCTGTAGCCGGTTGAGTACACCCATAAAAGTAGGATAGCAACCTCCCTCGGGGGTTGGTGTGTCGGTGATCGGGGTTTGCCGGGGAAGGCATGTCGGGGTCCGGAGTCGGGATTGACTTGTCGTTCGGGGGTCAGAATTTCACTAGAAATTAGGGTAGCACAAAACCATTTAGCTAAACGTAATCGGTATACGGTTATGGGTTTTTGGTAAAATTAAACGGAACGGTATAGTCTTAGATAAACGGCATAAACGGTATACGGTCACTCTAAACGGCGTTTAACTAACCTCTCAAAATTCTCAAAATTTTCGCCTGCGGCGCAGTAAAATAAAGAGAATCTGGCTTCCTGGCCTCCAAAGTTCTCGAAATTTTCGCCTGCGGTGATGAAAAAGGAATAAATCTTGCCTCTTAGCCTTCAAATATTCGTGAAATTCTTGCCTGCGGCGCTAAAAACGATACAGTGGGAGCTTTGACATTCGACAAAGCTCGACGAGTTCTATAGTTGCCTCCACAATTATGCTTTGCATTTTCTCCCGTACACTTCAGCTTCCGCTTTTTAAATTGCGGGCAGAGGTGGTTTTTCCTTCCGATTTCCGAAAAAAAATTTGATTTTCGAGTACGACTTTTGAGCATTTCCGATTTTCGGCTCTTCCGAGTTCCGACACCTATGACTGTTCAAACCAACCTCTGATTGCGGGAGGGATCATCCCGGATATATTTATATGTATTTTCTACCCTAATTTTAAATAAAAAAATAACAAAAAAATATTTTCTTTTCACTTAACAAACCAATCTAACATACATATAAAAAACATTGCTTTTTAGATTGCTGTTTGACCGTGAAAATGAACAGAAAATCTCTTGGGGATTTTAAACAAAAAATAAAAAAATTGTGGTTGCCCCAAAGCTTAATATTTTTATGAAAAAATACTTGGAAAAAATTATTTTTTTTTGTTGAAATTAAATGGAAAAATATTTGGAAAATAAAATAAATTGGCCAAGATAGAGAAGAAAAAATGAAAAAAATTTTTTAGAAAAGTAAAAATTAATAAAAATGGAAAAATAGAGGTGGGCACCAGGGTTGCCTTTTTTTGTACCCGATACCCGAAATGAAAATTTTATAACCCGAAACCCGTACCCGATATTTTTGCAAACCCGTGACCCGAAATGAAAATGCTCCAACCCGATACCCGAAGACCCTGGTGAGCACCCAAGGGGTATGTCAAAACCAGTGTTTATAAATTTCAGTACTTCGTACCGCCCTATTTTTTGACCTCGTATTTTGTACCTAAGCACGAGTACGAATTTTTGCACGAGCTTATAAACACTGGTCAAAACTGATTCAGCAACAAGTGAAAGACGAAGCCGAAAAAACGAAAAGTCGAATATATGAAGGGTAATTTAACCAACGTGGCAGTTACTTCAATTAATTAGTTAAAGCATCGAAAGACTTTTTTAATTATTGGAAAATTAAAATACCTAATTATATTAATATTTATTTCACTTGTTCAAACATTTTAAATAATTTTATTAAACGTTTTATAAAAAAATTTTTTTGGTTCGAGTACTCTCTCTATTTTCTCCCTTTCTAAATTTAATTTTTTTTTTGAAGTTTTGCTAGAATTTTTTATCCAGAAAAACTTTTCTTATCTTTGTTTGTACAGCCCACAATTTCATCATTTTTTGCCAAACTTCTCTATTAATCTCTGCCCAACGGCCAAAAATCACGGTCGTTTGGCCCCTTTATAAACCTCTCCCAAACCCCTAAACATTGTCTTCTCTTATCACTTCTTCCAACTTTACTATTGTCATCTTAAAAATTTAAATTGAATAAATCTATCCAAATAAAAAGTTTTTCTAAAAATGGCATCCTTAAAATTATTAATAACTTTACTTTCTGCTATTATTTTATTGAAAACTTTTACTTTTGCTCACTGTCCTAAAGGAACACATCATAAAAATGGTAAAAAATCAACAACAAATCCAAATAATAATCCACCAACAGTTGGAACAATTCATCCACCAGTACAACCACCAAGTCAAGGATATCCAAGTCCCCCAAGGTAATCTACCAAAACAGCCAAGTCCTCCAAGCAAATATCCTTCAGGCCCACCAAGCTTAGCTCCTTCAGGTCCTACTCCACCAAGCTCAGCTCCTTCAGGTCCTTCTCCACCAGGCTTATCTCCTTCAGTTCCAGCTGCTCCATCAGGTCAATATCCACCAGGCTCAAAAGTTACAAGCAACTCACTTACTGTTCCTCCACTTTATACAACAAATGAGACTTGTTTACCATTGACACCTGATATGCCTGGAGTTATTGATCAATGGTTAGATAAACCAAAAACTGGAAGATTTGTTTGGCACGCATTAACAAATGCTCATAGTTATGGAGGAGAATGTGGTCTTGGAATTCAATATGTTAGTTTATGTAAAGCATATAGCTATTTAATTCTTAAGGCTATGCAGTAGGCGGCGTGGTTAATGGCTAAAACATCACTCCGGTCTACTGAAGATGCTGGTTCGCTCCCAGCCGCCGAATAACCTTTCGTACTAGCTAAAGGAGAGAAATAGCTATAGCCCAGCTGATATCTTATTTTTTAAATAAATTAATTTATAGCCTTATCATGCTGGTGTTGGTAGTGATTTATGGTCACCAGTAAAAAACTGGGTACGTTCATGTTTGACTGATATCAAAGACCATTATATTCGTAATGATCAAGTTTGTGTTAATAAATGTGTCAAGATTGAATATAAAAATAAAACGTTAGTTTGTCTATTTTTAATTAAAAATAATTTTAATATTATATATCTCTAAACAAGAACTAGTCGGCGTTGGGCCCCTCAAGAGTGGAAACCCACCCTTGGGGCGCGCCGATCCACCAATTAAAATGAAGGCCTTCTTTTTAACTTTTTTATCTAACAAATATATTTAATAACTAAAAGGAAGAGAGGACAGGCAAACTTTTGATCGGGCCCAGAACTAATTAATGAGTGAATTAATTTGGCCGATTCTCTTTCGCCTTTTATGAGGCGCTAAAAATAGGCGTTTCATAAACTTAAAAATGTCATTTAATTAATTTTTAGTCTTATAATGCCAATTATGGATGAAACTGATTATTTGAAACCTTATGAACTTGATATTTCTGAACCAGCATTTAAATATTTAGAAATGAATCCTAATGCTGGATGGTGTACTGCAACTGTTACATACATTCGTTGTGAAAAACTTGGAAATTAAAATTAAATGAAAGTGCTGGGATAAAAGAAAATAATTAAATGGGAAAATTAAAAAAATTTAAATAATAAAACTAAAAAAAATATTCTTCTGTATTTCTTAAAAACTAAAAGTCGAAAATATAAAGGGTAATTTAAAAAGTGAATGGCGAAAGTTGAGACCCTAAAAAGGCGAAAATTGGTGGAAAAAGAAAGGCGAAAATTTTTTAGGATTTAGAATATGCGGAGAGATTCTTTCTCTGGGTCTGCTCTGAAAAATAATTTAAAAAAATTTTAAGAAAAAAATTAATAAACAGAAAATTAGAACTGGAACAAACGGAAATGTCAAAAACCAAGTCGGAAACTTTAAAAAATTTAGACATAAAAAAGGTAAAAAAAGTTTCTCCCTAAAAGCCGATAACATGTTCACACTAGAGATCGAGATTTTTGAAAAGCCTGTTCCCGCGTATGATTTATTGACCTGGGCCGGAACCTGGGCCTGTGGTCCAGAAAGAACCTAGGACGATTAAAAAATGCCTAGGCCTGAACTCTTGGTACAGGAAAAATTGGTCCAGGCCCAGCTCGATCTCCAGTTCACACCAGAAAAATATATTTATATAATATTTTTATCTAACCAGAAAAACTAAAATAATTTACACAAAATCAAAAAATATTTTTAAGAGTAATTTTAATAATTTAATTCGATTCATTTTTTACTTGAACATCCTTGGGCCCTGGCGTCAAAGGTTGCTCATTGGCTAGAATAATTGAGGGAGATGATGCCTCAAAAATTTCTTAAAAATAAAAGAGTTTAAAAAAATTTTTCAATTTTTTATAATTTAAAAAAACCTGTGTCAAGCTCTTCCATTTTGACCTTCCCATCGCCTTCAGGTGAACCTCCAAGGGTGTTCAAGCTTGGATCTATTGCGAAAAGCATCTCTAAAAATAATTTTTTTATTAATCAAATTTATTGGTTAATTTTAAAAATTGTCAATTTTCTTATATTTTTCTCTCTATTTTTGATTTGTACCTTAAGGCCGTCCGTGCTTTGACTAACCGTGTCAGACAAGGACAGAAAAAAGACAAAAACACGTACAGACACGGGCGACTAGAACGACAAGGTAAACGCCAAAATTTTGGCCCACCCCCAATGTTAGCCCCCCCCCCAAATCGACCCCCTGTATACGCCCTTGCTCCCAGACCAATTCAATCTGTAACCCCCCTTAAAAAATCCAAAACCTGTCAAAGTAGGAAATTTTTGCCAGCCATCATCAGCATTTTTATCAGACTCCTTATCAGCTTCCTTCCCTTCTCCTTCTTCTTTTTCTTGCCTCAAATACGTTTCAAAAACAAATTCCATATATTTCTTCTTTTCTTCAAAATCCTTACTCAATTTAATTTTGTCCTCTTCTTGTTCCAAAAAGAAGTCATTTCCATCAAAAGAGTAGCTAGGCCGAGGGTGGTCACGTTGAATTTCTTCGAGATGTTGCCAAAAACCTTTGCGATCCTTCAATTTTTCGTCCAATTCTTGCTCCCATTTGGTCAAGCTGTTTTTGTTGTCCTTGTATTTTTTGAGTGGTTTACGTTGTGAATTTGCCATAGAGACGAGATTTTTAAAGTTTTTAACTGAAAAAATTAGAAAAATATATGGAAATTGCGAAGTTAAAGAGGTAAAAACGAGTAAAGAAGGCTACCCTACAAAACATATTTTTTTAAAACAGCAAACGCTCAAAACATCTAGACGACTAAAAAGGCTCAAAATATATTCGCTCAAAACATCAAACGCTCAAAATATCTAGACGGCTAAAAAGGCTCAAAATATCAAAATATTTTTTGATTAAAAGGGACAGTTGAGTCCAATATTTCTTCCTTGTATCAGGGGTGAATAATGTAGTATCTCAGGACCAATTTTGCATGAACTCGACGTGTTGAGAAAGGGCTCGACGAGCTGAGTTGAATGACACCAAAATCAGCTCGATTGGATGATTGTGAACAAAGTTATGACCAACTGAATCTTCGCTGGAAAAACTGTTTTTGTGCTGCTACGGAGGGTATGCCGGGCATGGTCTTCGCTACACGATGGCCGTGCTTCGCTGCGGTCGTGCTCGCTTCGCTCGCGGCGACCGTAGCGAAGCGGCGGCCGTCGTTCCGCTCGACATGCCCGGCTTCCTCCGCAGCGGCAAAATTTTTTTCCGCGGACTCAACTGTCCCCTTTAAATGAAAAATATATTTTGATATTTTGAGCGTTTGATGTTTTGAGCGAATATATTTTGAGCCTTTTTAGTCGTCTAGATGTTTTGAGCGTTTTTACCCGTCTAGATATTTTTAGCGTTTTTAGTCGTCTAGATATTTTAAGCGTTTGATGTTTTGAGCGGGCACGGAAAAAAAGTAAAAAAAGAGAATGCAAATTTTAAACAAAAGTTGTGCGCAATTTTAAAATATAAAATACAAAATCTCAACAGACAAAATGCCCATCTTAATGTTTATTTTAAAAATGTCTGCTTAAAAAGAGAGACAGTAGGCATTTTGAAGAGAAAGTTAGGCAACTATAGAAAGTTTTTAAAAAAGTTTTTTCCTTCTTTTGTTGTGGTGTTGTTTTTCTTGTAATTTTTTAATTTCGATTTTTGTTTTGTTGTGTTTTATTAATGTTTTAGTGTGCCAATTCAATTAAAATTACATTATTTATACTCTTTGATTATGACTAACAACAATGGATGTATTATATCCGGGGAAATTGATAAAGGAGAAATATTCAAGGAGTTTTCTACAAAATTTGTATCAACGGTAGCAACTAGTGAATCTGATCGTTCTGAGGTGTTTTATTCATTTTTGAGTACTTTCTGCTTAGCATTGCGAATAACCTATTCCGTGAATTCCATTTACAAAAATTGTCACTTTGGTGCAGTGGGATAATGTTTAGTTACCTTTGGGAAATGACTAGGGTTCGATGCCCAGTGGGGGAAATTAATTTCAAATACACGGTAATCTTATCCTTTTCTTGTTTTCTAGCATTTCTAGCTTCTTATAAATTATTAAAAATTTTTTTGATTTAATTTCTCTTTCAGAATGCAGGCGGCACTCGTGATGGTTGGTTACTTATTGAGGCTATTAGACAATTCGAGTATGTTTCTGTCACTTTATTATAATATAACATGTCTTTGCAGTAAAGACTGGTCCCGAACTTTCTTTTATTATATGAATGCTTTGGAACTTGAAGATCCCAAGGATTTGATTAGGAAGTTGGATGGAAAGGTACACATGTTTCGTGATGGTGAAAAGAAGTTGAGGGTTGCTGTGATAAAGACTGAGGGTAATTGTGATGTTATGAATCTGATTGACAGTGCTATTTCGAGACGGTATGAGTTTATTTTTAAAATTTATGTTTATTTTTTCAGCAAAAATAAGCGTAATTCTCGTCATCGTGTTGCTTTTTCTGACTATTCCTACCGACGACTTGCATCGACTTATCAACATCATATTCGACCGCCGTTGTTTAATTACAGTTTTTATCGCCCTATTTATTATAATGATTTGGACCAACCTGCTCGACTTGAAAGAATTAATGATGTTCAGGTTGGAAGAAACACGGACATTGGTGCTGGACTTGGGCGACAACAGCAAGGACATTCACAGGAGGAACTTCGCCAGGATGGATTTTCTCAAGAAAATCTTGGTGAGGGCAGAATTTTTGAGGGTTTTCCTATTTTCTTATTTTCCCCCAATTTAGACACAGTCTCAACAATTTCATCCGCATCAGAAGATCACAAAGCGCCTCCTTTTCTTGATGAGTCGCGACTGCTTAATTGTTCTGCAACCAAGAAGCTTCGTTTTTTGCCACAGTATTTTGAGAAGATTTATGCTGCAAATAAGGAGTGGTTGTCTAACAAGAAGAATAAGAAGAACAGCATTAAAAAGTTTGAATTTTCTTGTCAAAAAAAAATTCAAGAAAAATTTTTTCCAATTTTCAGTTCCAACTCAAGCCTGTCTTCTTCTGGATCTTCTGCTGAATGTATTATTTCTCGTCTTTGTTCTGAATTTGCGGGATTGAAAATTTTTGATTGAAATTTTGAATATACTTGGAAAATTTTGGTTTTTTTACAAAAATACCTATATAATAGTGATCGAGATGACAATGAGTCCGGACCGTGGTCTAGGATTTTTCTTTACACAGAGTCCAGGCCCAGGCATTTTTTGACCTTCCTGGGGTTTTCCTGGGCTAGGTTTCCTGGACTACAAGCTCAGGATCCGCCCCAAGTCAATAAATCAAACCCAGGAACAAGCCCAGGCTTTTCAAAAATCTCGATCACTATTATATAATATGGTTTGAGATTTCTATTAATAAAATCTATTATTATTAAAAAATTGTTTTTCTGGCAATAAATTTGTTTTCGTGCTTTTTTTTTGAAATTTTAAAATTGTGTGATTTAACACAAGTTATTATTTATTTTTAATTTTTTTTTTTAAATTTTATCACATTTTTTTCATTCTCACATGAGAACTTTTTTTAATTTTCCTTCATTTTTCCTTCATTCTCCTCACCTTCCTTTAATTAATTATTGTACCCTTTTATCAAAACTCATGTTTAATTTTGAAACATTCCTTTTCCCTTCCCAAAAAACCGTTTTTATTTGAGAAGCTTTTTCTTCCCTTCTCTAAACAATTAGCAAATTCCAATAAATTGATTACTTTAAATAAAAACGGTTGTCTACAAAGTAAAAATAAAAATTAAACCAAAGAAAAATTTATATTTAACGTGGAAAAATGTCTGGAAATTGACGCTGTCGTTTAATGATTGCTCCCCTCTCATTCATTTATTTTTGCACCCAAACAAATGTTTTTAATATGTGTTTTTTTAAGTTTTCCGGAATATTTATAACAGTGATGGGCCGGTTACCCGATACACGACCCGACTTTTTTCCCAACCCGTCCCATCCTTGTTTATAACACAATATTGTCTAATTTTTTGAGAAATATTAAAAGTTTTCCGGAAAACTTGTTTTCAAGACTTATTATAAGATTTGTACCTCTTAAATATGTTTTAATCTTTTAAGTTTATTCAAGTTTTCCCGAGAGCATTTTTGTGTTTTCACGTTTTAATTTTTGGAAAAGTCTTCTTGGTAATATTCCGCTTTGGGACACGCCCAAAACTGCGCGAGCCAAAACTGCGCGACCGAAACTACGCAGGCCAAAACTGCGCAAGCCCAAAACTGCGCAGGCAAAAACTGCGCAAAACTAACTAGAGGATGGAGTCTCTTCCGTTGCTTTCCGTCTTTTTTTTTGCTGTTCCGCCTTCCGTTTTTAAAATTCGGTGTTCATCAAAATTTATTAAATGTAAAACATTCTAACAAAAAATTCAATAACCAGGATAATAAACTAGGAAAAAAACATAGTTTTATAACCTAAGTTTAAATTTAACTAGTTAGTCTTCAATAAGATGTGTCCAAGCTTAATAAATAGACTAGTTAGTTTCCTTTAACTAGTTAGTCTAAAAACCTTCAGAAAAACCTTCGGAACTTTCTCGACCAAAAACAAGTATTCTTTGCTCATCTTCTTTCCAGGTTTATATTCATAACGTTGGTAGTTCAGAGGAATTATCAAAACAGCGCGACTTTCATTATTTTGTGGTGCATCTTGTGCCGGAGTCGAATCCGTTTAACTACTCTGCGTATAGCTGAACTTGTTCGTTATGAGAATGTTTTTCTTTATTTTTTTCCTTTATTTATTTTTACTAAATAGTTTTGCGCAGTTTTGGCCTGCGTAGTTTCGGTCGCGCAGTTTTGGCCTGCGCAGTTTTGGGCTGTACCCTCTGCTTTATTGGTCCTCAGGAAAAATATGAGCCACTAGGTCATCGAGCATGCCGGGTCCGAATGTTTCCTAGAGACCAATAATGTAGTAGATTATTTTCTTTTTCATATTTGTGTTGCATTTTTAAATTAGTACCTTTGTAAAAAGTTTTTATTTTCATGAATATTTTTATTTTTTATTTTTCTAGAAATTATATTTGCTTTTCCGGGTTATATTTTTTAGGTTTATTATTTTCCGGAAAGCTCTTCCTTGAGATTTTTAATTTTCTCTTTAAATTTTCAGTAATTTAATAATGAAAGACTCTAATTTAAACGGACATGAACAACAACCCAGCAATTCTAACAATAAACAAATTCATCCCCCTCTAGACGACTCTTTCCAACCAAAGAAGCTAACAGCAATTAATTCTGATCATCAATTATTTAGAAATTTGTCTGCAACTGTAAGAAAAAAATTTTTTATTTAATTAAAAAAATTTTTTCGTTAAGAAATTGGTAGAATTACAACAGCCTGAGACTAGCAGAAATCAGTTGAGGAGAATTAGTGAGGGGGACAATCAACATTTGGAAAGGGGCAGTCCTCTTACACTTTTACAAGAGTCTAAAGTGCTTGTGCTGTATACTGGAGGTTTTTTGGATTTTTTAAATTAAAAATTGATAATTTTTAGGGACAATTGGGATGAAATGTTGCTGTGAAGGAGGTTATTTTGACTAAAAAATTATTTTAAAATTGAATATAAATTTTAGTTTATGCCCCAGAACAGCATTATTTGCCCAAAATTATTACAAATTTGCCACCTTTAAATGACAAGGAATTTGTGGAGTATGCCTATGCAGATGCTCAATTGAGGCCTTATGCTTTACCTTTAGTTAGAGGAATGAAGAAAAGGGTCGTTTATTGGGTAAATTTTTAAAGTTAATTTTTTATAAATTTTTTAAAAATTAAATTTTTAAAGTTGGTGGAATATGAACCTTTACTTGATTCATCTGACATGACTTTTGATGATTGGACTAGAATAGCTAAAGTTTTTTTTGAGTAAAAATGATTTTTTGATATTTCTTTAAGGACATCCGCAAGTCCTATTCTGCCTATGATGGCTTTGTTGTGCTCCATGGTACTGATACGTTGGCATATACAGCTTGCGCGCTTTCTTTTATGATGGAGAATTTGGGAAAACCTGTGGTTATTACTGGAGCACAAGTGAGAGAGAATACAGTCGACCTTGCTATAAGATACTCGGTTAAGAAATTTTAACTTATAATGAAAGACAAGGGCATAACCTGTACTTCACTTAATAATTTCATTTTTTTCCTCGTTTTAAGAGGGAGGGGGGAGCTCCACCCTCCTCTGGATACGGCTTTGATAGGCGTTACCTTAAATTGTGGATGTCATCTAGAAGACAACTCCTCCTCGTGTCAGGCTAATTCGCGGAACGGACAAGTCTCGGAACGACCCCTCCTCCTAGTGGCCAACTTTATTTCACAAAACATTTTAAATTGGGGTTTATTTAGTATTGGATGTATCTTATAAGTGAGATTTGACTGTATTAATACTTTTGGATTTGTTCTATATGTAAATAGATTCCAGTTGGTGAAGTTCGCTCTGATGGCCGTGAAAACATGATTGGCGCATTAATTGTAGCCGGAAATTTTGACATCCCAGAAGTTTGTGTTCTCTTCAATAATCGACTGTTCCGTGGCAATCGATGCACAAAAATTGACAATCGAGGACTTGAAGCATTTGACAGTCCAAATATGGCACCTTTAGCTACTATGGATATTTCTATTAATGGTTAAATTTAAAAATTTTTTTTGTTTAAAATTCCGTTTAATTTTAAGTTAATTATGAATCAATTTATCGAAGTAATGAATTGCGCCCTTTTAGGGTACAAGAAACGCTTTGCCGCAATGTTGTTGTCCTTCGCATATTTCCTTCTTTGTCTATTGAATCGGTAACAATTTTTTAAAAATTATTTTAAGAAATTTAAAAATGATTTTCCCCTCAGGTTCGTGCCCTTTTATGCCCACCAACTCAAGGTGTAGTTCTTCAAACTTATGGGTCTGGAAATATCCCCGCTGGAAGGACTGATATAATGGAAGAAATTAGAAAGGCTGTAAATCGTGGTTGTCTCATTGTGAATATTTCTCAGTGTCCTAAAGGAATTGTAACGACTTCTTATCAAAATGGAAAGGTTTTTGAAAATATTTAAAAAATTAAAAAAATTTAATTTTTAGATATTAGCAGAAGCAGGAGTTATTTGTGGCTCTGATATGACAACAGAAGCAGCATTAACTAAATTAGCATATGTTTTGGCTAAACAAGAATGGAATTTGGAAACAAAATCAATGGTATAGGATTTTTAAAAATAATTAGAAACGAAATTTAATTTTGAAAAGTTTAGATGTTGCGTCATAATTTAGCTGGTGAATTGACTGTTGCACGATCTGAACAGCCAAATGAACTTGATATGAGTAAGAATATTTTTTTAATATTCATTGGGTCAAGGGGCAATCCATTCATATACAAAAAAGCAAAAAAAAACGTTCTAAGTGGGACTATAAGCTATAAGACTGTCTATAAGTGGGCATAAGTCTTATGCCCTTAATTAGGGTATGAGGCCAGATCCGGCCCGGTCCGAAAGATCGAGTCGGGCATTGAATTTTGGCCCGAAAAAGACTTGGTCGGGCCGGCCCGAAAACCCCAACCATACTCTTAATATACGGCAAAATGGTACTGTTATTTTTATTGTTTAAAAGTATTTTTAAATTTCTAGAAGGTTCAATAGATGAATTGCCCAAACGCTTATTAAAAAATTTTATTTTTAAGTCCCCAGATTGGCAAAACTTTTACGAATAACTTCTTCCAGTGAAACTCAACTGCTACGGAAAGTTCTTTTTCCTCCTTTAAGTTGTCATGCAGCATTTGCCAATGATATTTCGAGTCTTGAGGTTTTTTAAAATTAATTTTTTTGTCCTAATTTATTTAAAAAATTTAGAAACTTCGTTTAAGTGGAGCTGATCTTTCCGGAGGTGATTACAATATGCGAACTTCACTACATACTGCTGCTGCTGCGGGAAATGTGGAAGCGGTAGAGTATCTGTTAAGACAAGGCGCTTCAGTGCACATTAGGTTTGAGGAGATTTTTATTTTTTATAAGCGAATTGAGTTTGAAAATTTGTTAAGCACAGTGTTATTTTATAATGAGCGGTAGCTTGGATTGTGAGCTGTAGCTTATTGTCAAATGAGTAGTAGCTTGGGAGGGGCGTGGGTAATGAAATGTATCTTAAATTTGGGGGTAATTACCCACCCAATGGCCAACTGAAATGAATCTTTTAAATTGGTGGAAGGAGAAAAGTACTAGTTATGTTCGGGTATCCCGATTCGGGAAAATGGCCCGAGTTTTTCGCCTTCCGACTGCCGAGGTCATTTCCCGACCCGACTCCCGTCTCTTTTCTTCTCCCGAACATAACTTCTTATGATGAACCTTTTATAATGGACTTCAACTGTATGTATTCACAAATATTTAAAAACTCATATTTTTTAGAGATTCTAACGAAGAGAATGCACTTGTTTGCGCTGTCCATTCTCGAAATCTGGAAGTTATAAAAATGATTAGACAGGCTGGTGGAGAATTGGTTCAACCAAAGCAACGAATAGGTTAGTGCAAATTTTTTGACTAGTTTTTAGTTTATGATTTTATTTAAAGGTGTTGAACTCTGTCTAGCGTCTGCCTCAAACGATTTGGCTGCTATAAAGGCTTGGCATTCAGCTGGTGCTGATCTTTCAACACCGGATTATTCAGGAAGAACAGCTTTACATATAGTTAGGAATTTGAAATTTTTCCTTTTTTTTTAAAATAATTTTTTTCAAGTCATCTTCGCGTGGATTTGATCAATTGAGTGAATTTCTCTGCAATATAGGCAATGTCAATCCATTAATTAAAGATTGTTGTGGAAGAACAGCAATAGATGAAGCTTTGGTTGCATCAGAAGAAGGTAGAGTTGGAGAAATAATTGCACCAAATTTTCAAAATATACTTGCACTTTTTAAAACAAATAAGAAAGCTGCTGAAAATAATGTTAAATACAATGACTGACTAATACTTTTTTTTGTAATGTATTTTCCGGAAAAGCGTCTCAGAATTTTTATTTTTTTTGCAGAATTATCTTCCCGCGATTAGCTTTTTAGTTTTTTTTATATTTTTCCGGAAAGCCCGCATCTTTACGAAAAATATTTTTGCCTACTGAAACTCAAAAAAATTCTCGCCTGCTGCGTTAAAAGGAGAAGGTCCTGGTCTAAATACAAATATCATGTTGTCATATATCCTGTAAAAACAACTTCGAGCCCAGATTCAAAATCGATCTCGGGTCTACGAAGAATTTTAGGTTACAACTAAGGAATTGTCTCTTGCGCCCACCCCAGGCTTAAAATATTTAATTTTTTATCAAAATATTCTTAAAAAAATTTTCCCAACTAAATTTTTTTACTACAATGTAAGTCGGGAATTTTTTAAGGGGAAAACAATTTTGTATGCTTCAAAATAATTGTCTGCATTAGAACTACAAAACCTTCTTACTTGCATCCAGTTCTTTCCACATAGGCTTCATAGTAACCCTTTTGGCTGCCGATGAATTACACCAACAGTATAAAATTGCCCTTTCTGGTCAACTCAACTTCACCCAAGAACTAAAAATTTGTCATAAAATAATTTTAAAAATATACCATTCAGTGGAGGAGTTTCAAGATAACGCGACAGCATACATACAACTAATCCTGCACCTCCACTACCACCATCTTTTCAAAAGATCGGCAGTGGGGGTGCTTTTTCGGCAGTGGGGGGTGCTTTTTCTGCTTTCTATCTCTAATATACAAATAGTAGGTAATACCGTTCAAAGGAGCCAATTCCAGGAACCTGCTTAACATGCAGGTTACAAGGCCGGCGCCACCGCTGCCTCCATCTTTCGAGAACGATCCCTGAAACATTGCGAATTTCAAAAATTTTATTAATTTGAAAAAATGAAGAAAAATTTGCTTACAGGTATTATATGAACAAAGAAGTGCAAATTTGATGCATCTCCCAATCCTTGATTTTTGACAAACGTTGTTAAATAGTTGCGCGCAACAATGGCGGATTCTTTGATCAGTAATTTGAGGTTGCCAGTCGCCGTAAGTAAACCATCCAAACAAATTACTTCCGCTTCTCCATAACCTACGAACCCAACTTAAAAAATAAAAAGTATTTTTAAGTTTATAAACAAAAAAACTCACAACTATCCGGAGTTTCAAACAAGATAGGGTAAACGCCAACAGGTACAACGTTAAACATGCGCTTCCTCTCTTCTTTTAGCAATGTTGAATTGAAGACTATAGCTGTTACTCAGAACAGCCAAGCTATAGTTACTCAGAACAGCCAAGCTATAGTCTTCAATTCAACATTGCTAAAAGAAGAGAGGAAGCGCATGTTTAACGTTGTACCTGTTGGCGTTTACCCTATCTTGTTTGAAACTCCGGATAGTTGTGAGTTTTTTTGTTTATAAACTTAAAAATACTTTTTATTTTTTAAGTTGGGTTCGTAGGTTATGGAGAAGCGGAAGTAATTTGTTTGGATGGTTTACTTACGGCGACTGGCAACCTCAAATTACTGATCAAAGAATCCGCCATTGTTGCGCGCAACTATTTAACAACGTTTGTCAAAAATCAAGGATTGGGAGATGCTTCAAATTTGCACTTCTTTGTGCATATTATACCTAGAAGCAAATTTTTCTTCATTTTTTCAAATTAATAAAATTTTTAAAATTCGCAATGTTTCAGGGATCGTTCTCGAAAAATGGAGGCAGCGGTGGCGCCGGCCTTGTAACCTGCATGTTAAGCAGGTTCCTGGAATTGGCTCCTTTGAACGGTATTACCTACTATTTGTATATTAGAGATAGAAAGCAGAAAAAGCATCCCCACTGCCGAAAAAGCACCCCCACTGCCAATCTTTTGAAAAGATGGTGGTAGTGGAGCCTCAGGATTAGTTGTATGTATGCTGTCGCGTTATCTTGAAACTCCTCCACTGAATAGTATATTTTTAAAATTATTTTATGACAAATCTTTAGTTCTTGGGTGAAGTTGAGTTGACCTGAAAGGGCAATTGTATACTGTTGGTGTAATTCATCGGCAGCCAAAAGGGTTACTATGAAGCCTATGTGGAAAGAACTGGATGCAAGTAAGAAGGTTTTGTAGTTCTAATGCAGACAATTATTTTGAAGCATACAAAATTGTTTTCCCCTTAAAAAATTCCCGACTTACATTGTAGTAAAAAAATTTAGTTGGGAAAATTTTTTTAAGAATATTTTGATAAAAAATTAAATATTTTAAGCCTGGGGTGGGCGCAAGAGACAATTCCTTAGTTGTAACCTAAAATTCTTCGTAGACCCGAGATCGATTTTGAATCTGGGCTCGAAGTCAAGATTTTCATAGCAGATAAATCTTTTCCGGAATTAATTTTTAAATAAATAAAATACGTGTATTTTCCCTTATTCTGATTTTTATTTTGTTATTTTTTAATTCCTTTTTTTGTTAGCAAACGAAAAGTCAACACACTTTTTATTATATCAAATTTATTTTTATTTAAAAAAATAAAATATAAAAATAAAGAATTATTATTGCAATTTGTAAAAGTGAAAGTTAAACAAAAAAATAAAAATCACGGGGTTTAATTTTAATAAAAGCAAAAAAATAATTTTATCAGAGAGAGAGAGAGAATGGAGAGCATGTGAAGAAAAAATGAGAAATAAATTTAAAAATTTTTTTGATTTTTAAAAAAAATATAACAATTAAAATATTCAAATTCGACCCGGGAGAGAAGAAAAACTACGCACCTTTGTTTATTTAGTTTTTCCAACCTGACAGCATTTTGAGAAAAAAATGGTTTCAATTTTTGCTTAATTTTATGAGCAAAAGTAGGGTTAGATAGGGAGAATAGATGTATACAAAAATAAAAAAGACTAGAAAAAAAATAAAAAACTGAAAAAAATTTTCTAAAAAATATTTTCGACTCTTCAACCCTTAATGGACGAAATCCAAAAAATATTTTGAACAGTAAATTTCCTTTTAGTGCTATTTGAAGTATATGGAGAAGACAATAATGGAACCATTCTTTTGTAGAAAATTATCCAAAGAAGTGTAGTTATTCCAATAATTAATAATTCCATTGTCCAAGCCATGCGTGGACCATACATTGTGTATAATGTGCTGAAAATTTAGAAATCAGAATTTTTATGGGAATAATGAAAATACAATTTTATTTGTATTTTCCGGAAAAGATTATAAATTCAGAATTAAAAATTTCCGGAAAAGTGTATTATTTTTGTGTTTTTCCGGAAAAATTAGTATCCCTCCGGAATTAACTTAAGAATCATGTGTTTTCTTCATAATTCCGGAAAACATTCAGAATTTTTATTTTTCCGGAAAGTTCTATTATTATTGACATTTGTATTTTCCGGAAACGGAAAATACATTTTCCGGAAGAAAAATTGTATTTTCCGGAAAAATATACATTTATATTTTCCGGATTTTATTTTCCGGAAATTATTTTTCAGAATTAAAAATTTCCGGAAATTTGTTTTATTTTTGTGTTTTCCGGATAATTATCCTTCTGTTTACTGGAGCATCCCATCATTGATTGGAAAAATTTTAAAAATATTTTTTTATTAATTATTGCCAATTTAATTACTTTTATTATTTGATTTCTTTTAATTACCTCATCCCAATAGGTCCAATCATTCTAGCAATACTTCCAGATATTTGAAAAAACCCTTGTTGCGTTCCCTGTCGTCTAGGCCCAATTATATGAGAAAATAAAGTGTTCATGGCTATATTAAGTATTGGAAATGCAAATCCAATAAATACAACATAAGAAATAAAATATATCCAAACATTTACTTGCCCAATGTTGTAACACCAACTAATTATTTGAAATAAGAATTAAATTTTTTATGGTCAGTTTTCCCCATTTCTTAAAACTAAATAAATATCCCCCTTCAATTATTCATAGTCGATATTTCCGGAAAAGTTTTATATATTAGTTGTGTGTTTTTCTGGAAATTCATTGTATTTTTAGTCTTATTAAAAACAACGAAAATACAAAATTGTATTTTCCGGAAACGTTCTTAAATATTTTTCAAAACTATTGTATTTAGAATTCTTTCCGGAATTATTATTAAATTATTTTCCCTTCCGGAATGTTTCATAATTATATTTTACATAATGTGTTTTCCGGAATTGTCTTTCCTGAACAAAAAAATTTTTGTATTTTCCGGAAACCTGATTACTTTTCAGAATTAAAATTTTCTGAATCATTTTTAATTTACAATAATATTAAAAACCCACTCAAATTTGTCTGTATTACACCCAACAGGTTCCAAGTCAGCAGGTAAGTGTTCTACTTTATAAGCTAGTCTTTCTATAAAATAATAATTTTAAAAATTAATTTAAAAATAATTAATATTCACCTTTCTCCGTATAAACTTGTAGCGGATTGCTAAGGAAAGGCCACGGAAAAGTAACTATATGAAAAGCTCCAAGGCCTAATATAGACAAAATACAACTTAGGCGGAAATTTAATCTTTAAATAAAAAAAATTTTTTTTTTAATTTCCAAAGAAAAACTCACTCCATATTCGAAGATTTAAAATAAATATAAAAAATATAAGTAGCAAAAGTTATAGACCCAACCAATGCTTGGGCAATAGAAATAACTTCCACGGATTTTTGTTCAGTCATTCCAAACATTGTCATAGAAAAAGGACTTCCTATTGTTTCCAAATTTGTTTGGACAAACATTTGGGTAAATCGACTTAGATAACAAACAAAACAAGCAATTAAATCGTAGGGGGGTAATTTTGAAGGCAATGAAGATGTTAGAGAATTTACTGAGCCCTTAAAATGTTTTTGTGTTTTTAATTAATTTTTGAATATAATTGGGTGGTGTAAAACTTAAATTGTAAAACATTAAAAGAATTGTAAAACTTTTTTTACAATTTGTAAAACTCCAAAATAAGAATTGTAAAACCTTAAATCTAAAAGAAAAACTTTTTTTACAAACTTAAAGGAATTGTGAAACTTTTTTTAATTTTTACAATCTTTTTTACAATTTGTAGATTGTAAAACTTGAAAGAAAAATAAACTTAAAGGAATTGTAAAACCTTAAAATTAAAAGTAAAGTTGTAAAACTTTAAAAATTAAAAACTTGAAAGAATTGTAAAACTTTTTTTACAATTTGTAAAACTCTTCTTTTTTACAAGTTTTACAATTTTCGTAAAACTTGCCTTTGTTGTAGCTGTTTCTGATCTGTTGCTTTCCCCATTTTCAACCCGAACAATTTTATTATATTCTTCATGGTGCAGACCCGCATATACTTCTTTGAAAATAAATAGCAAAATAATTGTACCAAATAAATTCATTGTACAAGCCAAAAATGCAGGTCCAGTAAACAAATTAAATCGTAAATGTCCGAGGAGTGTAGTGCCCGGATATGTAAATGAAGTGAATAAAAGTTGGAATGCTGCAAAGAATTGAAAAACTTTAAATGTTTTTTAAATTTATTTTATTAAAAACTTATTTCTAAAACTTGAAAAATTAAAACTTAATTGTAAAACTTAGAAAATTAAACTTGAATTACGAAACTTAATTGTAAAACTTGAAAAATTAAAACTTGAATTGTAAAACTTAAAAAATAAAACTTGAATTGTAAAACTTAAAAAATAAAACTTGAATTGTAAAACTTAAAAAAATAAAAAACTTGATTTGTAAAACTTGAAAAATTAAAACTCGAATTGTAAAATAAAACTTGGCGTAAAAACTTGAATTATAGGGATTGTAAAACTTTGATTTTACAACCTTTAAAGATTGTAAAACTTAACTAGTCTAAACTTAATTTATCAATAAATACAGCTTTGTAAACACATACCGGGACCACTGGTTGCACCTAGCGCCTGCCCGCAAGTGACAAAAGCTATAGCTCTTAAACGATCCTTGCTAGTGGAGGCTGTTGAGGCATATGTTCTCAATAAACAAACATTCCCTAAAATTGGATTTTTCTAATAAAATTATTTAAAAATACCAGAGCCCATCCCCGTCATAAACCTTCCAAATAAAAGAATATATAATTTGGGTATTGTTGTTAATTCTAAGCTCAGATAACAAAGATTTCCCATAAACATAAGTGCTAGTCCAACAAAAAGGGGAAGACGGACTTGTTGAATTTTGTTACTCCAATAGCCGAATAATGGGGCAGAAATTATTTGTCCAACGCTGTATATTGCTATAATCCATCCAAACATTGTTTCGTTTATTGAGCGGTCAATCTATCAAAGATGGGGAATTTTCAGGGGAAAATGGGGAGAAATAAAAATTTTTTACAATTTGTACGTATGGCCACATTGAAGAGAAATAAAGTGAGAATTGGACTGTTCCAATAAAGGAAAGCATACTTGCTGTGTAAATACTGTTCCAATTTGTCTCAGGCATCATTGTAGTAGTTGTCCTTATAGAATCTGGTCGGTCGTTTGTGCCTGTCTCACTCTGTTTTTCATTAAGTGGGTCTTTCATTGAATTGGGCATTTCTATCTAGTACTAAAGTTTAATAGGGTAATTAATGTTTGCAGAGAAAAAATGTTCGCGTGGTAAAAACAAATGTTTTTACAAATAAGATTAAAAATGAATATAAGCAAAAACATCAATTATTTTAGAAACTTGAATTAGGTAATGTGGATTATTAAACTTGAATTGTAAAAACTTGAAAATATCAAGTTTGTAAAAATACAAAAACTTGGATTGTAAAACATAAAAACTTGGGTTGTAGAAGCATTTAAACATTAAGTTTGTAAAAACTTAAAAACATCAAGTTTGTAAAATACAAAAACCTGAATTGTAAAACATAACGACTGAATTTGGTAATTGTAAAAACCTTAATTGTAATTGTAAAAACATACAACTAACAAGTTTGTAAAAACTTGTTTTAAAACTTATTCTAAAACTTATTTGTAAAAAAACTGTACTGATTGTGAAACTTAAAATAAACTAAAAAACTTAACTTAATTAAAATGTAGGCGTGAACAAATAATTGTTAAAATTGTTTGCCCGACAGTTTAAGCTGATTACTTTTTAATTTCATTTAAATAAATTAATCAAACATTTAAATATATTTATTAGAATTTTTAAAGACATTTTTTCCTTACACAAAAAAATTTTTTAAAGAAGAAAAATACAAATGTTTGCGCTTCTCAAGTTCGTTTTCGGTCAAAAAGAGGATAATGATTATAAAACAAAGTTTAGTATTTCTTTCCTTCTTTTTCAAATTAGAACAAATAGAAAAAGAAAAAAATACAAAAAATAATGAATTGAAAGGCCAAAAATGAAGAAAAAAATTTTCTTAAATTGTACCGAAAAAATATGTATTGGTGGAACTAAAGTTAATTGGCTTTAAGTTTTTTATTTTATAATTTTTTTATTTGTATTATTTATTTTATTTTTTTATGTTAAAAAGTGTACTTTTTAAAATTATAAAAATATTTTTAAAAAATTATACAAACAAAAATATTTTTTCCGTACTTGAAGTTGTTTAGACTAGAATGTTTTTAACATAAAGAGGCAAGTTAAAAAATAAATATGTTTGTCAAGTTTTAATTTAAATTTTAAGTTTTACAATTTTACAAGAAAAACTTGTTTGTAAAACTTAATTTGTTCAACCTTATTGTAAAACATTTTTAATAAAACTTGAATTTGTAAAAACAAGTTTTACAATCTAGTAATTTTATAAAACTTGTTTTTACAAATTCAAGTTTTATTAACCACGTCTTACAATAAGGTTGTACAAATTAAGTTTACCAAATCAAGTTTTACAAATTCGGTTCTGCAAATAAAGTTTTAAACTTAGTTACAATTAAGTTTTACAATTCAAGTTTGCTACAAATTAAAGTTTACAATTATGTTCTAATTTTTAAATTAGGTTTTATTTGTTGGGAAAACATGTTGAAAAATAAAAACTTGTTCCATAAAGGAACGGAAGTAAATTTAAAATAAAATGTTTTGAAAAGACTGAAGATCGCCTATTGGATTTGAGGCAATTTATCTTGTCGAACAAAATTTTAAAAATTTAATATTTTTAGGTTTGTACTCTTTGACTCTTTGATCCTACACAAATTTAAAATAAAAAAAAATTCTAAAAAATATTTATTTTATTAAAATAAATTAAAATCAAGAGAATATCTCAATAAAATTAAATTTCCTTCTCTAATTATAAAAATAAAAATAGAAACATAATCCTTTCCTCATTCGTCCATTTATTAAAAGAAATTTGGATTAAATTAAAAATAAAAATAATTAATAGAAAAATGGATAAAATAATTTTTAAAAAAATTAATAAAAAATAATCTGTCAAGAAATAATTGTGGTACAAAATGAGGGAGATTGTTTTAGAAAAATAAAAATGAGGGAGGGCTATAAAATAATAATTGCCATAAAAACTTGTTTAAATAAATATAACTGTGAAAGGATTAAAAATATAAAATATGATTTTGTGAGGTCATTTTATGAGCCAAAAATAAAAGAATAGTTTTTATGACGCATTTATTTACATATTTTAGTTAGTTGGAATTTTTAAAGTTAAGTTATGAGTCATAACACAAAACATTCTCTCTCTCTCTTTATATTAGTATGTTTTTGCAAATATTTACATAATTTATAAAAGTCAAAATCGAGCCATGGTTGTCTCTAAAAACATTTACAATTGTAAAAAGTTGGGAAACATCTAATCCTATTAAATAAACATTGTTGTATAACAGTATTATTAAAACAAACTTTGTGTTAAAAACATGTTTGCAAAAATGTTTTGCAAGTTTATAAACTTGATTTTGATATGTTAAACAAGCTAAATAAAACTTGAAAAAGTAAAAGGTAAACAGGTTTAAATAAGTTTGTAAAACAAGTTTGTAAAAAAGTTTGTAAAACAAGTTTGAAAATAACTTTGTTTATTACAAACAAGTTTGTTAAACAAAACAAGTTTGTAAAACAAGTTTGTTAAATTTGCAAAAAACAAGTTTGCTTAGAAATGTTTTGTAAAAACAAGTTGGTAAACATATAAAAACATTTTATAAAATTACAACAAATGTTTGTAAAAAGGTAATTGTAATTTTGCTACAACTTTAATTAAGTTTTTAAAAATAAATAAAATAAATTAATAAAATATTAAAGTTTACCAAATTGATTAATTTAAATTAAAGTTTATAAGTTTTTTAATAAATTTAAAATTAATTTTGTGTGGATAAAAAAGAGAGCTAGCGAGTTAGTTTACACAGACAATATATTTTAAAAATTATTGGAAATTTGTTAGTTAATATTAAAATTTATTTAACTTATTCATAAATAAAATAAGAAAGAACTGAATTTTTTGCCTTTTTCCAACAAAAATTTAAAAAAATCGAATAATAAATATGTAGAAATTGAAAGAAACATGTAGCTGCAAATAAATATATTTAGGTATGTATAAATGTTTGCTTGATTTTAAACATCGAGAGAGAATTTGAATGTAAAAAGCATTTTATGATCTAAACGTAAATTTATGATCTACATACTATGTAAATGGTAATTTAGAAAATTTGTCGAGTAGCTTTTGGCCTATTTTTTATTACGTTTATAGGAAAATATTTGTTTTAGTCGAGTAGGCGAAAACACAAGGAAGTTTTAAAATTGTTTTGATGTTTGACGTTTTGATGTTTTATTCAAAAACGGGGTTGATAAACAAATTTTAAAACAAGTTTATTTAAGAAAATACAATAAACCCGGATTTGAACATGTTTGAAAGAAATGTTTTATTTAAAAATAGGGTTAATAAACAATTGTAAAACAAGTTTATTTAATTGTAATTTAAATACAAATTGTAAAACAAGTTTACCAAAAATTTACAAAGTTTAAGAAAACAAGTTGTTTTTAAAAACTTACTATAAAAGCATGTTCGAATCCAAGTTTATTTTATTTTCTTCCGCCTAACAACTTCAAAATTAATTACAACACCCTTCTCCAACAAAAATGAGACAAAGCCGTAATGGAGCCGCCAGTCAGCAGCCATCGGTCGACTATGGTCCTCGTCCACGCCTTCATCGAAAACAGTCCATCCGAAGGACTAAATACAAAAAGTGAGCTTTTTCCAATTAATTTTTAAAAGAAATGTTTCTCAATTTTTAGAACTCCTAAAGCTCGTATTAACGACATTCCAAACGTTGCTCAGCCCGACGAAATGTTCGATGGAGGTGTTCGTAAATCCAAAAGTGAGCTCCACAAGGAAATGTTTGTTTCCTTTTTTAGACTTGGACAAAATTTTTTTATTTCAGCGATCCTTATATTGACTCCGAAACAGGAATGTTGCCTAAATGCACGGATCAATTGTCGGATTCTTCCATTTCCTCGTCTCAAGTATCGTCCGCATCAACAATTAGAGCAGCATCTCCATCCAAACACAAGCCAAAAGCAGCGACTACAACAAACCGCCAACCTAAAAAAGCAAAACAAAAGAGACAACCTACAATGCTCGTTTCTTCTGCCGCGACTGTTGCAATCCTTCAACCACCTTCGCCTGTGGGTGAACGAGAAGAACTCTTTGAAGGATTAGAGCAACAAAAACACCATCATCGTTCTGCATCGCCAATATTGGACAACAAATTCAACAAAATTAGGCGTCAACTGCGAGTGGCCCTTCTAAAAAGAAATGAAGGGCAGAAGAAGGCTTCTGGCGAATCTGTGGACAGTAGCGATGCGGATGATGAAGAGGAAGACGACGATGAAGAAGAGGAGGAGGAGGAAGGAAAGAGCTACGCGTATTCGTCAATCTCAAGGTGTGGTTTTTGTTTTTACAAATATTGAAAAACAAGTTGGGAATTGTAAAAACAAGTTTTACAAATTGTAAAAAGTTTGAAAAAACAAGTTTTACAAAGTGTGAAAACAAGTTTTACAAATTGTGAAAACAAGTTTTTCAAATTGTGAAAACAAGTTTTACAAATTGAAAAACAAGTTTTACAAATTGTAAAAACAAGTTTTACAAATTGTAAAAAGTTTTGAAAAGCTGTAAACTTGAAAACACTTCACTTTACAAACAAGTTTTAAACTTATAAACATGTTGCTCTTTGCAATTGTAAAATGTTGTGAAATAAACTTGAAATACCAAAAAGTTTTGTAAAACAAGTTGCAACATGTTTTTACAATTTAACAGTGGAAGGGGCAAAACATCTTTAAAAACAAAATTTTATTATTTTCAGTATGTCAACAGAAGCAGCTGGTAATGAGGAGGGCTTTGATTGTTGTGTTCAACTTTGGAATATTCTTGTCAAAATTGTTAGGCTGATGTTTGAGGCTGGCAACTATGTTTTGGACCATAAAGTAAACTTAATTTTTTTATTAAAAATAATTTTTTAAATTTTGTCAAGTTGTTGTTCTATCCTTTGGCTATCATATTCGCCTATTTGTGCCTTGGAGTTCTTCATTCAATATTTGCCTCTATTTTGGCAAGCATTGCTGGTTGGGTTTGGCCTCCGCTTCATTTCATTCTGAGCACTACTGGCGGTTTTGTT